TTTTCCCTTGGTCTATCTCTTTCTCTAACCTTCTCTCCATCCCTGCCTCTATCCCTCTCTCTATCTCTCTCTTCTCTCTTCCTCTGCCACCTCTCTTCCCGCTTCTGCTTCCAGGGTAGCAGTTAACATGATTGGTCCATGGCCTCTCATGCTTCTTGGAAAAGTATCTCCTTTCCTCACTCCCCTGTCCCCCTCTTTTGCATTTTCCATCTCGATATTGGACAAGGGGCGTACATTTTTACTTTCTTCCCGCCGTTCCCTCTCTCCATCCTTGGGAATCTTGGGTCTCCTCTCCTTGTCATAGTATCTGTCCCGTTCGAAGGGTTCTTTGTATCTTTCTTTTGTCTCTCGCCTTCTCTCTCTTCTCCACTCTTCCTCTCTGGCCCGCTCCGATTGGGCAGTCCTCGCTGGTCTCGGACTTGGGTCTCTGGTGATTTTTCCACCTGGCTGAAGTTTGCGGTCAGACATGTTTACAGTAGGTACAGTGACGAAGCCGCTCCAGCTGGGCCTTTGTGTCCCCATAGCCTGTAATGAATAAAGATATCAAGCATTATATTAACTCGATATTACTTACAAGAACTTGTAGTACTGGTTTAGAAGTAAAGTAACATATACTTCACAAATATAACTCTTGGCTGTGAAACTTGCCACCTTAGAGCAGCATTTTACTAAATTTGAAATAGCTAAGGCTTGTTACTTGCTCACTGAAAAACCATTAAATCTAGTGCAAATATACTCATAGCTAGAGCAGCATGAAAAAAAATGCAATTACAATTTTTCTGGCAAGTTTTATGATTAGATTTGCATTTTATATCTTAAAATCAGCGTTCAGCTCATGGTGCATATTTTAAACATGTCGATTACCAGTAATATCTGTGAGAAGCCTGAAATATGAACTGTGAAACACAAGAATCCCATGCATTTCTGAACAGCTTGTAAAGGTTTAAATTTCAAGTTACTTCTTTTTTTTTTTTTTTTTTACCTAAATATACAGTATACTTTGTTGTTTGCAGTCGCCATTCTATCACCCTAAAATTACTACCTCTGTGATTTTGGTAATTTTGAAATTGCGATTTCAATGTCATTACGATATATTGAGCAGCCCTGCTAATAGACCATGGCCAATTTGACATTTGACATGGTGATAAGGGATAAAGTGTGTTTGCATTCATACTCATAGCGATCAATAAAAATGTCTTAATAAATATGGCGTTCAATCTTAATTACATGAACATGACAAAGCAGAGTTTAAATCAGTGACATTATGCAAAAATAAGCATAATCCGAAGTTAATGATCTCGAGATAAAAAAATACCCAAGCTGATCATTGACAATTTGACACAATTAAACACCAATTTGTTTAATTTCATACACTACATAAAAATAGGTTCTACTTATTTTTCTTAACAAGCCTCACCTGCAAATACACACAGTTGAGTATTTGAGTATGTGAGGCCTGTGACACATAGGCACGGCATGTCACAAGTGAGCCAAAACTAAAGTGCATTTGTGGTTTGCTGGTTAACCCATAGCAAATGTACTCAAACGGTATTCAAAAACATGTAAATAAAGTGGAACTATAGCAGCATACAATATAGTGACTTACCTGAATTGTTGCTTTGGGGAGATCTAGGCTCCCCTATGGTCTCTCCAGATCAGCACACAAGCATTGGATTGCATAATAGACTGAAATTCCTTCCAGCGTTTTCATTGTCGAGGTGCCATAGCATACATAGCAAAAATCCTGCTGCAAACTGCGTATCAACTGGCTCTTGTAAGTGCTTTTTTATAAGTTAATGTTTACGCCTTAGCTCTCTCCTTGCTTTCCCTGTTTTTTGCCCTTCTCTCCTCACCTCCCTCCTGCTTCAAATTCCCAAACAAGTCTCAACACATTGACAACTATCTCTACCCTCCTCCTCCTCCTCCTTCTTTCTTAGTTTGTCCTCTGCTCTCAGTCGCAGTTACTCCACAGGGCTAGTCCTCTCTCTACAATAAATCAACACCAAGAAAGCTAAGCATGTCCAAAAAAACTCCAGAGGTCTTCTTCCTCCCTCCCCTTTTGGGACGATTAGAGCGGCCTGGCCTGTGCGGACCCCAAAGCTAAACAAGTTACCACTCTCAGTTTAAGCCTTGCCCATTCTTCTTTCACTAAACATAGGAAGTACACCTCCTTAGAGCCAGAGACTGCAGGCGGTGATTGGTTGACATGGATAAGCAGGGTGTGTCCGCTCAGCATACAGACAGGTAGGATTGTGTGAAAGCCAGAGCCAAGGTGGGGGGAGGGGAGCACACCACAGAGGGCTGAAAGCATAACAAACAGTAGATCATTACCCCTAGATTAAACTTCTCTGTAAGAATTAAAGGAGGGAAAAAAGGAAATGGTGTCGTATGAGTAATAACTGTTCATATTAGGCAATCACGTATAGGAACGTTACAGGAAGGAGTAGTTATATTATCATTATAGTAATAGATGCTGCTGAGTCAAACAGATCACAGATTACACTTAAGTCACTCCTAAAAACGCACTTTTTTTCACTGGCTTTTAACAAGAGAGATGTACATTTTCTTGTTGTTGAGTTTCTATGTTTTTAGTAGTGGTATTGGGTTTGTATTGTGTATTGTGCTTTGTCTATCCTCTCTGTTCGGCATTTTGGCCAGATGTAAAGTTTTTAAAGTGCTTTATAAATAAAGTTGGTATGATAAGTCTTGTTGATTTTAGACTATCAGTAACTAAGCATGCCATGAATTAATCAACCCTGGTATTGATTAGTTAAGAGTTGCAATTATAGTATAGTGGTGGTCAGTATTAATAGTAATGGATCAGTAAAGTCTGTCTCTGTCAAAAGCCTGAAAAGATCAGATTTAGATATAAAATGTATCTTTAAATAAATAAACAGAGCAAAATAAATGTTTTTTCACAGTGCCAAAAATTGAGACTAGATCAAGATTTTTATCACAGTAATCAAGTGACATGATGATTAACGGTTCACTATGTCTGACACATGCTATTGATTTTGATGCCTCTAATGTTCCTCAATGTGGCATTTAACTTCTCTAACTTCTCAGGTCAGATCTGTGGAGAGGCGACCCCCCTCACAGTAAGAATGCATGCTTTTTTTTAAGCAATAAAACTAAATGAATAGATGCAAGATACATGAGTTTAATGTCAAATTGAGCAAAGCAATATAGTTTCCAAACAATATGAAAAGCTTACTGAAAAGTAGGTTACCAATGTTTGCTTTTCTGCCATATTACAAACTACAATCATCCATTAGTTCACTTTACGAATGATTTAGCCTTTTGTTTGTCTAAACATAAAACTTTCTTTGTTTGGGAAAATTACCTTCATCCTGTGTCTGGGGAGAGATAACATCCAAGGACAGGTCCCGTAACAGAGCTGCACTGAAACCACGGCCTGAATGAACTCATCAAGTAAACACACAAACACAGAGTAAGCTCATCATTGTTAATTACATCTGCACAACCAAATACGGACAGACAGAGATTTAAAATGGGCTATTATGTTATGAGTATAATTGAGCTATTTGTCACTTAGGTGTGTCTCAGACTTAGACTTAGACTTACTTAGTCTAAATTGTAGTCTGTAAGTTGCATTCAGAAGCATTCAAGTAAAAAAAGTTACAATCATATTTAAGTCTTTTTTTAAGTTACTTAAGTCTTTATTTGGAACTGAATAATACAAATGTAATATTACAATGAAAGCAAACAACTTTATCTCAGAAGGTTGAATTAATTACTTATAAAACCCCTACCCCTATTTTCTTTCATTGACAATTTATAACCTTATCCACAGCTGACAGTGTCATGATAAAAAATATGTGTAAATGTATAAAATTATTGCAAATTACAACACTATTTCTGGATATCAAGTCTTAATCTAGTTACAAATTGGCCATGTATCAGTTAGATAATTTATTATGTGTGTAGTCATTATGTGTCAGTGTCATTAACATCCCCGGATAGAACTTTCTCCTGTATTTTTAGTATGAATGACTAACTACACCATTTATTTCACAATAATAAACTGATATAATAATCCACTATAATTAATTATTTAGATAAACCTTTCATATCCCTCTATGATAAAGTTTCATGCCCCTAGTCTCTATGATTTAATTTGTGTGTACATACCTGATCAAGAGTTGGACTAACAGATAGCCCATGCTGTGTTTTTGTCTTGCACTGCATTTTCCCATGCCTAATCCCAGTTCCAGGTAAATCCATCCAGGGTCAGGTGATAAGGAAGTGAAATGATTCGTGGTCGCTGATTGGTTACAAATATGTTGCATTGAAAATAAGAAAAGAAAGAAGAGGGAATATTATTAACTAAATCTAAAAAAATAAATAAAAAAAAAGTGTCTAAGTGATGTAATCTGCAATGACAATAACAACGATTGTAAGGTTTAAGCATAAATAATGATAAGTAATTCAGTTTAGCGAAGCACATTTCTCACCCAACACGTCGTTTTAAACCATTTCCAATCATTTCCAGGTAGTTTTGTTGTATGTAGAGTTAATAATACTTAATGCAGAGAAGACAGTAGCAGTTTTACGTAAAATTATAACTAGGGTGACCAGTTTTTGAAAACCCAAAACTGGGACACGCTTGGTTTGGAGTAATAAAACTGTGAAAAGTGTGCGAAATTAAGATACATTTTTATGCACTCGACTTATTCAAGCACGGTTTTCTGTATTTTAGCTAAACAAACATCAGTATAATGAATTTTTACTGATGGCCGGGCCCAAAATATGGACACGTGGGGCATTTTTTGTATAAAACTGGGACAAATCACTGGTTTTGGATAAATCTGCTGGGACAGGGGACACAGCGGTCAAAACTAGGACTGCCCCGGGTAAATAGAGACATCTGGTCACCCTAATTATACCAGTATTTACCTGTCTCTCGCCTCATTGTGAAACTCTTGCACGGTAATAATTAATACCACGTGAACGCGTCTCTGTGGTCGGTCACATGGTCGGGTCTGTTTGGTTTCACTTCCGCATCCCGCTACTGTACGTGCATGTAGCTTGTTAGCCTTTGTGTGTCACCCTGAGGAGACTTACAAACTATTTTTGCACACAAAACAGCGTCGCGTAAAATTTTCCCCGCGTTTGCAAACTAATTCTGCTCAGGTTTTGCTTCACTTTGTTGCCCAAAGCGATGCGTCAAATCAGGAAGCGCTGTTAGCACGAAGCTAGTTTTCCTAACTCAGAAAGCTGCTTAAACTGCTTAACGTTTTGTTCCTGAACACCACCAGGAGATCCAATGAAGGTAATTATAACAAGTTTGTGAATTAATGCGTGTGAATCGATACTGGCTTGTAAAAAAACACGTGTTATCTTATGCAAATCACCCACTACTTGCGTTTGAAGTTCCTAGTTTCAGCTTGTCTGCCATATGTTTCCACCAAAATTTATCTTAGAATTACAAGGATCTATCCTACTTTTCATTTGCAATTAATTTATTCTTTATTTTTTGCATCCTGATTAGCTCGTGCACACTGTGACTTTGATGCATACTTACGATTTTTAGGAGCAAGTACTCATTTCCTTCTTTTTGCCACATGGTTGGTCAGTATTACTCAGAATGTTTAAGGAACAGGAGGATAAAAATACTCTTGAAAATGGTTTGCTTCCTGAATTGTTCTTTTTTCCCAACATTAATACATGCATTTTCATAGTCAGCTTTTAACTTATATGACTAAGTAAATGATGGTTAAGGTTAAATTATTCATTCAATACTCGTAATGTACCGTAGCAAAAACTGAAATATCGTGATGTCGTATCGTCAAAAGGCCATCACAATATATTGAATTACAAGTTATTTTGCTTAAATGAATTGTTATGGTGATTTTAATGTCCTTCTTTGTGGTTTTAATGTCTTTCTTATTCTGTAAACTTTGAATTATTTTGTGTATGAACTGTAAACCTGACTTGCTATTCTAGGGAACTACATAGACCATGATCCTTTGGTGTTAACAGTAGCAGACATGAAGAAATAAATGTTGTGAAACACTTTGAAATCTTAATTCTTCAAGGCTTTTAAAAGGAAGAAGTAGCATATTCACAATTTTGTAAGCCTCCAAAAACTATTGCAGAAAATATCAAACCATGAGAAGCATATCGTGAAAATATCGTATCGAGAAATTTTGCTGTTGTTACATCCCTATTCAATGCACAACCTGAATACATGGAGTCAGAAACGCAAAACTAAAATAAGTATTAAAGCTAAATTCCTTTGAGGAAGTATCAGTGCTGGGAAAATTAATGACTGTGTTTTAGAATGATCTTTATAAGACCGTGGGGTAATATTAAATTTTGTTCAAAAACTACATTCAGTTGCATTAAAATCATTGCTATCATTATTGGATCAAAAAATTACATTGTTTAGTTTTTCCTAATGCATTGTCTCTGACTTATTGTTGGGGATGTAATAATAACCTAAATATTGTGATATCGTATCGTCAAAAGTCTCACAATAACACTGTGCGCTGTCACAATATATCGAATTACAAAATCTTTTGCTTAAATGCATGGTTTTATAGTACCAGTAGCTAATAAACATCGGGAACTACATATCCCATGATTCATTTCAGCGCAGACAACATGAAGAAATATGTTTTTACGTGATTTCTTGGGATTATGACAGTAATAATTCACATCAAAATCTTGTCAGGGTATTTTTTTAAAAAGTGTCATATTATCTACAATTATATCAGCCTCTTCAAAATATCGAAATATATATCATACTGTGAGATGCATATCGTGATAATATTGTACCAAGAAATTTGGATATCATATACATCCCTATTGTTTAACATAACCATAACCAAACAATTGCTATCATTGTTGGATCAAAAAATTACATTATGTTGTTTTTCCTAATGTATTGTCTCGGATTTAATTATTGTTTACCACAACGATCTGTTTTCCAGGTACAGAATTGTCTTTGGGGCTTGGTCCTCTTGTTGATGCTCTGTGGATGTGTTTCCAGCACAGATAAGGTTCCCACAGCTAAAACTCCCACAGAAAAATCTCCCACAGAAAAATGTAAACTCACACCTGAAACTAAATCGGAGCGTAAAATCCTCGATCTACTGGCACCTCTCCTCAACAAAAAGTAAGAAAATACCACTTGGCATCTGAGCTGTCTTCACAATCACCATATCTACCCATTGTTCAATATAAATGATCCATGAACAATAATCATTGCCCTTATTTGCTCTTATTGGTCTTTAGTAATCATTTTATCATTGGTCTGAGCAACTTTTTTAACTATTAATCCATCTTTTTATGTAATTATGTCAAGGTTTTACTCATGGTCAAGTCTGTTTTTTAATTGTTTTGCATAACTTGCTGTTTTAATGTTTTCTAGTCACTGCAAACCAATTTTCTTGCAAGGACAATAAATGATCTACCCACCATTTTAATTTCTATAGCAAAATTATCTATCGCACATCAAACTGTTTTGCTGTGACAGGCTCCAGTGTGTGTTTTTGTCTGCACCTAAAAGTTTGAAAACAAGTTGGGCAATAATTTGGTATAACATGTGGTACTTCTTACTGTCCTAAATATCTAAAACTATTCACTAAAAAGACAGAAGAAAATTAAACAAGGGCTTTATTTGACATTTTTACTTTTTTACACATTTCATCAGGGCTTTGTTCACACTTGTTTGGTATTTGGATGGACTCCGGTTTAGTCCTGATATAGACTTGTTTTTTTTTCTCTCCTCCTCCTTTTTGCATTGTCACACTAGAAACATGTGGAAAACTATGTAGTAATGAATAACTGAATACCCAATCATATTAATTCAACTTTATTATAATTTCTTAGTTCACTAACATGTTTTAAACAATGTGTTCTCAGCTTTACTGTGCAGAAGCAGGAGGGCGAGGACAGCTACACGTATGTTTTTCAGTTATGTGGAGATGCAAATGGTGTTGCAGGAGCTGGAGTTGTTCAAATTAATGACAAGACAAAGGAGCAAACAGTTGTTGGATTATATAACTCAACAAAGGCCATTGGAGGAAGTAAGTACATTTGAAAATAACCGCCAAAAAAGGTTGCTATTGCTATTGAAGCCTTCCTTTATGTCACAATACTAAAATAATAAATTGGAAAAGATGACAAAATGATACCCAACCAAAATCTATACATATAGAAAACACTTTTACAATAGAATGTAGTTTGTAACACACAATTGTACTAGTTTCTATAAAATAATCATGTGGTTGTTTACTTGTTCTGATTGAGACCAATGTCGTTCTATTCAGGAAATACAATAGTTTGGCCTATTTATGTATTGCTTTTACAGTATTTATACTTGTAAATGTGTGTACATAGTTGTGACACTAGTTCTATTATCAGTATCTGGCTGTTGATTATATTTTAAAGGTATTTTTTTATTTCTGTTTTTGGACAGCCGTTGATACAATGTGTACATTCTGTAACTGAATGTTCTTGTTCTTTCAGCTTACTGGGTGATGTTGATCTATGAAAATGGACAGAAATATGGCTCCCACTGCCAAGGAGCAAATAGAAAGGCCATAATTATGGTTTCCTGCGACAAATCGATAAACGTGGTATGAGTAAAAGTAGTTTGAATAGGAGTGAAACAATGTTTGGAAAGTATTTTATTTGAGTTTTAGTGAAAAGTATTTGGATGAGAGACTGCTGGGTGTCTGGTCCTGCCTTGCGTAGAATGAAAAGTGTGTGTGTATTTGTATGCATGTATGAATGATTGGTGGTGGTCAGAGGGGTCGATGGCACAGATTGGCAGCATTGCCCTAGGGCAGATGTCGCTAAAGAAGGACCTGGCCCACCACCAAATATGGATTGAATGAGTAATGCAGAAAACTGTGAAGTAACTTTGAGTGTCTGAAAAAGTGCTCTATAGACAGTTACATACATTTCTACATGGTTTCTTGTATGACAGGGTTAGCCGGTTTTACACAAAGTAAAACTTGCTTTTTAGTCCTCTACAGACATTATTACTACAAAATAATTGCTGATTGGCTATTGGTATTGGTAAATTGGTATTAGCTTTACAGCTCCAGTTAGTATAAGTGTATAGAAGTATAGTATAGTATTTATATATAGTATAAATTGTTTATCTTCAGCTGAACATCCATATTCAAGACAAGATCAAAATGTACTTGACAATTGTGAAAGAACTTCAAATTTGCCCACAGAAGTGTAGAAATACAATGTCCTAACTTTTTTTGCAACATTCTGAGTTTCTTTATTAATAGTTTTGTGTTTTGTCACCTCCACAGGGCCCGCTGCAAGTCGTTTTGGAGGACAGGGAAGGAAACGACTGCTTCTACCTCTTTGAAATGAGCGACAGTGCTGTGTGTCCCGTCGTCCAGTCACAACTCAGTGCTGGCTCTATATTACTCATTGTGTTAGTAATAAAACATTAAAACATTAATTTCAATCATTCAAACAAATAATCACAAAGTATAAATGGTCTTTTGTTTCTTTTAGGGCGGTCTGTCTGGTTGGTGTATACCTAATAGTAGGTTTTCTTTATCAAAGACTTGTCGTTGGAGCCAAAGGGATGGACCAAATTCCACATTATCCTTTCTGGGCAGAGTTTGGTAACCTAGCAGCGGTAAGACCTCTTCAATGGATTTAATCTGATTGAAACAATTTGTTTTACATTTTCATAATCTTAAAATGGACAGCACAGTCCAATAACTATGTGAAATTCCAAATTAAAAAAAAAAAGTCCACCAGTTGTGGATTAGCTTCATATAAATAGACGTATTAAAGTAAATGAAGTGGACTGCATAACTGCATAATTCCATAGAAATGGAACGTTAAAATAATATGGTATGTGGAGACGCAAGCCCACTCATACCAAGTGTTTTATGTTTTTCAGTGTAATTAAAACATCCATAATTTAAAAAACATGCTCTTATTTTAGTCTAGTTGTAGAAAAGTTACATGCAGTGGCTTTAACTGTAGACTGTGTCAAAACCTCTGCCTTGCTCCTGCAGATTCCAATTGTTTTACATCTTTACATCTCCATTGGTTTAATAAATGTTATCCTAGCATGTAAATAGAATGATAATTTGAGACGCAATCCCAATCCCTACAAACAGTTTTTTTTTTTATCCACAAAGAACCTGGGCAAAACCTGTACTGGTCCATCAGAATTCTACTGTAAAACTATGGGTAGTTTACAGTGTGATGTTTCAAAAACTCAAGGCAGCAAATTATTCTATCTTTTGATTGGCCAAAATTCCTCTATGGCATTCACAACATGAAAAAGTCATGTGAGTGAATCCCAAGAATATATCCCTGTATCAGCACCACTCATTGTAACTACACCTAGATTGGCTTTTCATAATTCATAATGAACATAAAGTTGGGGTATTAAGTGGTTACTAAGCCTGACTAAGTCTTTGTCTTTGGCCTGTCGTGCTAACACATTGTGAAGCACAATATATCACTACAGAGAAATTTTGCGATTAACCATAATATTGAAAATAGTTTATGCCATTGAACCAAAGCTAAATAATACCAGTAAACTTATTTTAAAATAGACAGTGTCATTAAAAAGCCTGAGCTGCAACCAATAAATAACAGAATAAACCAATAATTAGCCATTTAAGTTATTTATTCTACTCTCTAGTGTTGTAGTACTAAAGACTCAAGACCTTTTTTTTGTCGTCTTGGTCTCGTCTCGAACTCAACCACGTTTGGACTCGGTTTTGTCTTGGTCTTGAAGGCTCTTGGACTCATTATTGTCTTGGCCTCGAGGTCTGACACTCGAATGATAACATAGAGATAGATTTCTAAAAACATTGATATATATGTGCCACAATAACTGTAAAATACAAAAAATAAAAATTACAAAGATGGTCTCGATTTGGTCTCAATGGGCCGTGATCTTGGTCTTATCTCGGTCTTGACCCTCAGAGGTCTTGGTCTTTTCCTGGTCTCGGGACCCTGTGGTCTCGAACTGGTCCTGGTCTCAGTTAGTGCGGTCGTAACTACAACACTACTACTCTCTAGAGCTTAAATCTTATGTTATTACATAAAATGTCACATATTAAAGGCTAATGAAAGTGTAGTTAATGTAAATTTTATGCTGTGGCTCTAGTTTTTTAAATTTCTTTTTCTTTTTGTTCAGGATGGATGTGACTTGGTTTGTCGCTCTAAAAACCGCGAGGAGCCAAACATGTACAGAGGAGTGGCCTCAGAGCCGGCGGAGGAGGAGCCAGAGGAGCGGGACGACCACCTTCTACCAATGTGACCTCACTCTGACAGAGACTTTTACTGTGTGATTGATGTTTACTCTCCGCAGGTTAGACAAACTGAACTCTTGTGTATAAGTCTGTTTATTTGTGTTGATTTAGGACCTAAAGTGTTGTGACTAAAGAGGATACATTACTCAGATGGCGGCACATGTGGCTTTTGGTCTAGTTTGATGTGGACTTGGTGGATTTTCACATGCACATTCATAACATTAAAATGATGATTGAACCAGGCAGAAACAAAACTAAACTGGACTCGATCAGGACTAAACTAGGACTTTAACAAGACCAAACAGGACTGAACTGGGCTCAAACAAAGACAAGTGTGAAAGCTCCCTTATGTTGGTTCTGTTCTAGTCCTGGTTTAGTTCAATAGTTTAGCCTGAGTTATATTCCGAGTTACGTTCTGAGTTACTTTCTGAGTTAAGTTCCAAGTTTAGTCACAGTTTTTTGTTCATGTGGTGTATGTGCATGTGTGAACGCAGCCTAATACTGTTTGTTTTTTTGTTTTTTTTTAAAGTTAGCTCTCCAACCAATGAGTGATTCTACAGAAAATGTGACCGTCTAAATGGAGCTGAATAAGTAAAAAACATTGTGTAACTTTGCTTTTCTTTAGTAAATGATCTGTAAACATTTCTTTTACAAATGTCTTGTTTTGAGCACTGATGTTATGGGATTGGGTAACACAAAAATCATTTGTATTTTTTTTTTTTTTTTATGGGTCACTGTTTTGTAAATGACAAAACACACTGATACTGCGCTTACAACTCCAAAGAGTTTAAACTGAATGTAATATCAATATATGTATATTTGTACACTCAGTCTGTTGTGAAAGAGCACTTAAATTGATTAGTAAAAGGATGTGTTGTGACTCAGCAGTTTGAATTTTAAATATTAATATGGAAAATGTGTGTAAACTGAAAGGGATTTATAGAAGGTCATCCATGTTTTAATATTATAAGGGCAATATTATACTCCAGACTTTTTTAGCTTGGCAACAAAAGTACTTGATCTTAAGTTAATTTGTGTTTGCTTTTGCTTTCTCAGATTTGCGTTTGGAATTTACACATACTATTATTAATGATTTTACAGACTTGGTAGATAGACACCTAAGTGCACTCATTTGCAGAGTGAATGTATGAAATGGATTTTAATAAAACTGTAAAATAAACGTTAGACGATTAGTGAAACATACAGATGGTAGTTTTGTTAATGCGTAGGGCTGGGGGATAAAGGGATAATATAAATATAACTATGCTGTTTAGGATAAAATGTGTGTTATAATTCACAGATTTTCTTTTTAATTCTATGCTTAAAAGACAGTTTTCTCTTCCCATACACCTGTCAGCCTCAGCAACAGACTACTCTCAGTGACAGGTGGATTCAAACAATTACAAAGTGTATTAGTTACCTCTACAAAGCTATATAAGTTTGTTTTATCTCTCTTTAATGCATCTAAACTATAGCATCTGACAATTATGTTTAATCTGCAGGCCTCAGCTTTATGTCAGCTGCTCTACAGGCCCATCCAGTCACTTCTGCTAACAGGGTTAAAATGCCAAGGCAACAATAGCGCTGCATACCAGCGCACCTCGGTATGTGGTTGTTTTCTGTCTAATGCTTTTCACATCTGTTCTGTGACACAGGATAACTCACCACATGCTCACAGAGACATCATTTTGAATTTTTGAAAAAAACTCCTCCACCTTCACTAGAATCATTTAGGATGTTTTCAGATCTGGAATTGGCAAAATGTAACTGCTTCATGACATCACAAGATGGAACAGATGCAGGCAGACTAATAATAAAGAGTTACTTAAAGAAACAAAACACGACTCCTTAACCTTCTCTCCATGTAGATAAGTAAGTTTAATTCCATACTGTAGTACAGAACATTCCAGACAAAGAACTGATGAACATCTCCTGAAAAGTTACATAATTTATGATGTAAGATTTTTCCAATTGTATTCCAGCAGTAATATTTGTAAATTCTCAACGACAGAATTCACAAAAAAGAATAGCAGGCCTACTTACTATAAAAGTTACACTTAGACTTACTTAAACAAGCTTTATTGGTCCACAAGGGAAATTATTTGGACACAGTAGTTCACACATCACAACATGATGTAATAACAAAGAGAAAAAATATAAATAGTAATACTAAATTCTAAATAAGTAGCAAAAAAGAGCAAGAGACAGGTGTCAAATAAGTCATAATTATGTTAGATAGCCTAGTATTTCCTGTTTAAATATTACAGAACATTTCACACAGGTAGGTCTACTTACTTACATTTATTCCCTCCGTAAAAGTTACACAACACATCTTTAATGTTTGTCTGTCACACTGTTAGATAGCCTTGTATTTCCTGTTTAAATATTCCAGAATTTACATGTAAATTTCACACAAAAAAGAATAGTAGGCCTACTTACTTATATTTATTCCTTCCATAAAAGTTACACAACACATCTTAAAATGTTTTTGTCTGCCACACTGTCAGATAGCCTAGTATTTTCAATTCAGATATGTCAGAATTTATATGCACATTTTCAGACAGACAGAATTTGCTCAAATATATTCACATCAGATCCATTTGTCCTTTTTATACTTTATTTTAATAGATATGTTATTGATATGTTATATACTAGCAGATGAAAGCATTATTGTCCCTCTCCCTATGTGTCCCTCCCATAGAACTGTTTTTATTAGTTTTATTATTAGTTTTATGAGTTATATTATTAGTTTTTATTACAGGTGCATGTGTCCCTCCTGACCAGCAGAGGGCGCAGTCTTCAACGGGACCAGTCACAGCGCGTCCTCTGCAAAACCAAGCGAAGGGGCGGGGGAGAGTTGGAGCCAAATTTTACAGAAAAGTGCCTCGATGTTTGTGCACGAAGATTTTTGGACTTAAAACATTATAGGATTTACAATTTGAACATCGGGGAAGGTAAGCACACAAGCACGATTTGGCACGCACTCTGAGCTAGTTAGGAAATTGTTTTGAGCTCGCATTTGGTGCTGCATCTGTTGCTTGCAGTGCTACGCTGTTAGCATCTGTAAAAGTACTCCAACATTCAAAACTCAAGCTTAAAGTGTCACAAGTGGCGATTAATCATTGAATATATATTTACTGCACGTATTTCGGTTCATAGATGAGCTCATATAGACTACATATTGTTTTGTGTGTGTTGTTTACAAGTTGCATGTTTACATTTGTTGAATTGCACGCTTTGTTTTTGTTGTTGTTTTTGTTGTGGTAGAAATGGTTAGAGAAAGTGGGTAAAACTTGTACTGAAGTAAAGTACTATTACATCAAACAACCTCCAACTCACAACCTACAAACTTTAGTGATCGAATAAATGACTACAGTAAGTGTAATTCAAAGAGTAACATTTATAATTATAAGTTGATGTAATTGGTCAGACTCAGAATATGCCACTTTTACAAAAAAAAAATAGGAAAAAAATTTATCTGAACTTTGTGTCACATTGTGCTGAAAGAAACAAAAATATACAAATAATTTAATATCGCCATTAAACTTTTATAACTTGTAAACTTACAGAAAGAAGTGTAACCAAAACCCCCTAATTAAGTAAGAGTAATGTTACAGTGTAAGAAAAAAAATACAATAACAGTGTAAGTGTCTGAGAAGAGAAGTACTATTTTATTAAAAGGTAACTTAAGTAAATGTAATTAATTTCCACCCATTCCTCTTGTCAGACACTTAAACTCCCACTTGTGTATTTTTCCATGGATCTATAGTAATAACTTAATAAGCTCTTATACTTTAATTGTTTTTTTCGTACCATCAACATACATGTTAATACTGTCTTCCTGAGAGAAATAATGAATTCTGTTATGTATGTAGTAAATGTGTTATTAGCCCACTCTCAGATGTCTAGCTGCACTGTTGACCAAAATAGTTTTTTTAATGACTTACTTGATTTTACATCACATTGAAACATATTTGCAGGTGCAGCCATGGATTCAAATGAAGAGCAGAACAACAACACTGCAAATGGGACAGCTCAGCAGAACAGTGGGACGTCTCGCACTGCTCAGATCGCCCACATGTCTCTGTACGAGAGGCAGGCCGTACAGGTGAGCTCTTCAGTGATACAAAAAGAGATTATGTTTTTATGAATCTCAAATGATAAATTTACATCTACTGTTGGACTGCCGTAGAATTACTTGAACATTGGTGTTGGTTGAAGACAAAAATGAGACATTTCATACACTTATCCCTATCTTAAGTGTGAAAATGTATGTATGTATTTATTTGGCAGGAACAATTTTAATAGCTGTTAACACACACTGTCCCAATCAAACAAAGGCTAATATTCACTCATAGCTTCCCACTTTGTTTATCAGTGTAACGTTTTATGCATTTTATGTTGCTTTAGGCTCTCCAGGCTCTCCAGAGACAGCCCAATGCCGCTCAGTATTTTCAGCAGCTCATGCTCCAGCAGCAGATCAGCAGTGCCCAGCTGCAAAACCTGGCAGCCGTTCAACAGGTGACCACCATCTGAAACTCTTATAATAATTTTTACATTTAACGGTGATTTAAAGTGACTAAATCCTGGATGTTATGTCTTTAAACAGGCTACACTTGCTGCAAGTCGGCAGTCCAATACTCCGAGCAATAGCGGCTCACAGACTGCATCAACAGTAATGATTTTATCACACTGCATGTTTTAGTTTGGCTTGTCACAATATGAACTTTGTGCAATTGTGGGCTGCGTCCACAATTGCACAAATACCACGTTAAAATTGGGTTTATATATAGGGACTAAACAAGGACTAAACCCCGGCTACATTGGAATTAAATTAAGCTCAAATCAGGACTTATCAATTACACATCTGAATGCACCCTATATAGGCTCCAATATAGGTATAAATATAGGTATAATAATATTGGTCGATCTTTAATATTTGTGTTATGGAAGGTTGAATAATTAGCATCTACAACTTATTTATATTCCTTGTGTGTAGTGTCTTGCCCTCTGGCCTCTGAAAGTTATGAAAAGCAGTTCAGAATAACTTTGGATCTCTGGAACTGTTTAAAATGAACTACTTCTGTTTTTTACCTTTATGAAAACTAAAAATTTCAGGCACAGCTCCTTTTAATGTGATTGTTATTGTGATATTTTCTGTAGCAATGTATCACACTTCTAAATCTGTTACTGTGACAGGCCTGGTTTAATTAATGATTCTGATTTAAACTTGTATTGTAATGTATTTTTGAAGGTGAACCTCAGCACCACTTCAGCCGGAGGGACCACCCCACGCCCCCACGGCCCCCCCACCTCCGCCACAACCACAGCCCTGAATCAGTCTGTGCTCATCGGGGGCAACTCCGCAGGCCAAGGACAGATGTATTTGAGAGTATGTTTTAATACTAAGTTTTATTGGACAGGACAGATGTAAGCGTGAAATGTGAGTGAAGAGTGTGGAGAGTCTACTGTAATTGAGTACAATTTTTTTTACTTGGAAGCATCTTGAAAAACATGGAGAGAAGTTGAATACCATATTGTGGAATATTTGAGGCAAAAAAATGACATCTATGCAGACAAGCACATGATTGTCCAGCCACTAGAAAGTTACATAGTGTACTTTTAACCTCTAATGGAAGAATTTTTTTATTATACTATCAGTTATAAGATACTGTCAATTTGTATAACTGATTTAAGCAATAATTGATTCCTTGAAAATATTTAATCAGGTGCTTTTCCTAGTGTTCGAATAATGTTGTCCATGTGTCTTGTCCTAGGTGAACCGGTCCCTCCGCGCTCCTCTGGCCTCTCAGTTAATCTTTATGCCCGGAGGAACAGCCACCGCGACTGTAGCAACAGTGACTCAGGCTCAGCCCCAGCAGCCACACGAAGCTGCTCCTGCAACCGGAGGAAACCAGACAGACAATAACCAGGTCTGAACACTATATGTATTTATTCATACATTTGATTTTTGCTAATAGTAAGTGTTATAAGTGTTGTAGCTGTCAGCACCTTTTCTAGACCAGTGTTTCCCACCCAGGGGAACAGGGCGCTCTCAGCTAGGGCTACTTGAAATAGTTTGAAATGGAATAATATTTGAAGAAACTCTTGGAATGTGAGACAAAGTTTAGGGTGGAAGAGATATAACTTGTAAAACATTATAGTTATTGGTAAAAAAGAAGCTTTTTAGGGCTATAATCCTTTTAGTTGATTACTGTAATCAGTCAATGATGTCCTAATTTAGCTGTATGTCAAATCATCCCGGTGTGCATTGGCCTCAATTTGGCCAAATATAATTATATGGGACAGCAGAAAGGAGAAGTGAGTGAGTTAGCTGAAGATGTATTTTTGGTATTTCTATGTAAAAGGGCAGATTAAACTCATTATTCCCAATTTTAATCTGTCTCTATAAAAACATTGTTTCCTAGTACCATAGCATGAACTCCTGTACAGGTGCAGTCTTGTGAGCGCAATTTGAGTCAGATACATCAAAATACCTAATAGATTTGAGAGCTTTTGCCATGCCCCCTTTTTAGTTGACTAATCAACCGGCAAAACATGTTTTTAGGCGACTACAGCCCTTCAGATTTAGCTCTGTTACTAAATCAAAATGGCATAATGAGAATAAAATTTTGTAATTTTGAGGAAAACTTCTGAATATCTGTATTTTTTTAAATCAAGAATGTGTATTTTGTGGTTTAAGTTTAAGGTCAAATGTTTAAGGTACAATAAAAATAATAGTTTGACTAGTACAGCACTTTTATATAGTACCTTGTCATATTTGATTGTCTGTAGTAAATAAAAATGTATTTTCAGGTCCAAAACCTCGCTCTCCACCACTCATCCACTCCACGAACATTAGCCGTCAAATCTGAGCTTCCAGAGAGGAAAGACTGCTTCAACCAGCAGAACTTTGGGCAGCCTCAACAGCAACAAGTTCAACCCCAACAACAGGCAACCAAACCATTTAACCAACAACCAAATATTTCTGTCAAAACTGGAAACGCAGCGGCCATGACGGTGACTCCAGCAGCATCAGTAGCCCCCTCTCCCTCCTCCTCCGCTCTCCCTCTCTCTCAGCTCCTCCTCTCCTCTTCTTCTACCCCAGTTATTTTAGTCCCTACGTCCAATGTTACTACCTCTTCACAAGGTTACCCCATTGCTTCAGTAACCCCCAAACCCAATATGAACACCCAAACTCTAGTAGTTCAACCTTTGCAGCAAGCGAATACCACTTCCGATAAAGTTCCGGTGCCTATACAACCTAAAACCCCTCAAGGTCATCGTTTGCCCGTGCAGTTGCCCCCTCCACGACTGCCCACGCCCATCCTACCTGCCCCTCCCTCCAGCGGGGGCTCCACAGGGGGGCAGAGCGTGCCTCATGTCCCGGTGCAGTTGGTGGGGGCCCGGCAGAACACAGGAGGAGGGGCCCAGGCAGTGGCTTTAGCACAAGTGAGAAGTAACGCAGTCCAAGAGCAGACAGCAGGGACGGTCGGTGTCTCCAACAACAATGGGACAAATATGGTGAGAATAATCGGGGTGTACATCGTTTACTGCAAATGAATAAGAAAATCTATCTGGTTAAAATGAAATCTAAATATTAATCTTGCCTACAGTGCCAAAAAGCTAAAAAGCTTGGCCAAAATGTAAGATGTAAACATTTAAATCTATCAGAAAATGACTTAAAAGTAGTGAAATTATCTGTCCATGCAGCAAGATAAATTTTCTTGACAAGTTATCTTAAAATAAACTTCCTCTAAACTAGAATGAAGCAGTCTCAGAACCAGTAAGTAGATAATAAATCTGAAAACAAGATTAATAACCTGATATATGTCTTAAAATCTTGGCCAGATCAGAGAAGTTTGCAGTGTGTAATGTTCCACAGTATGTTATTCAACTTATCTATGTCCATGGAGACGAGCACAAGGCCAAGTTAGAGATCAGGTATGTGTACAGGCGAGTCAGCTCACAGAATAATTTATTTTATTAGCTATAAAATCACTTGTAATGCAATATGTTCAATGCCATGTACAGAAGTTAAACAGTGCAGCTTTAATTGTTGCCAAAGGGGTAGGAGTAGGGCTGCTCGATTATGGAAAAAATCATTATCACGGTCAGTATTGTAATCACGGTTATTCAAATGATTATTTTTTTAGTTACTCAATGCATTTATTGAGCATTTCTCTCAAAAAAAGCACTTTGTTATTGATAATTTATGTAAAACTTTCAAATTGAAAATAAATGTAGGCTACAAGTAGAGCAGTTTTGCGATGTATAAAACATAAAATGAATAAAATATACTTTGAATGTGAAATAAGACAAATATATCCAAAATAAACTATAAATACAGCTGTTCTACAATCTCTATATTTAAAAAAGAAAATAAATATAAACTTTGATAAGCTTGTTTCAGCTCGATTATATGAGTTTGGAGATTGTTTGACACACAAATCGAAATTGCGATCAAAATTTAATTAATTGCACAGACTTAGGTAGGAGTTTCTTTAACACTAAGGCATCTTGAAACCAGTAAGACATATAATAAAACATATTTACTCAACTTAATATTCAAAATTCAAGTAATTTGTATCCATGTAGTGGCTCTTTTTGCAGTGTTGTAATTATTCAATCTCTGATCTTGTTTTCAGACTAAACCTGTAGTTGGATCTTTGAAGAGGAAGTCAGACTGCGACGCTCCCACTGACATCAACACGTCTGAACCTCTCGACTCTTTGAAAGACGCCGCTCCTCCTCTGTCTCCTGCTCCAAAGGACTCAGGTATAACTACAAGAGTTAGACGTTTATGTTTAGTAGGGGTAGGCAAAATAGGAAAAAAAATCACTTTGCATATCTCTTTGTCACAATTTTATATGTATATTTTTTGTTGGTGAACTTTAAATTTCTCTGTCTCCTTTGACACATTTTAATCAGGTGGCAGATTCTTCACCAGAAAAGTAACATAGGACATCTTTAACTTATCCAGATATTAGTTTTTGCAGTGCAGGGTCAGACCACAGTTCAGCTTCTCGTCATATCAGCAAACCCGAATGTTTATCTGTACAAAACTGATTAGACGTTTCCTGTTTCCTCTAGCGCCCCCTGCTGTTGCTGCCTTTTCATCTCCTCCGACTCTGTCCCTCCCTCCTCCTCTGTCCAGAGTGGGACTGGGGGATAAAGAGCGTCCTCCTCTTCCTCAGGCTGTGGTCAAACCTCAGGTCCTCACTCATCTCATCGAGGGCTTTGTGATCCAGGAGGGAGCTGAACCGTTCCCTGTAAGTAACTCAGGATTTTCAATTTTAAAACACTTTATTCACGTTTTACTAGTTGATGTTTCCATACACACCGTAACTTTTCTGTTGGATGGTCCTGCTTGTCTCCATAGAGTTATTGTTCCATCGCCTATAATGTTCCGCAATATGGTTTTAAAGACAGACAGACATACTTTATTAGTCCAGAGGGAAATTGAAGTTTTCCACTGTGCGTCCCGTCCCGCCTTTGTGTCTCAGTCTAAGCTCTCAGGTCAGTTTAACAGGAGGACTGGTCAGGGAGGGTCAGCAGATCCTGTTTCAGCGCAGTTTGAGGAAGAGGAAGAGACAAAAGTGTCCCTCCTCTGTGTCCTGCAGCATCACAGCAGAGTCCAGGGAGAATCAGGTGAACACAACAGGAAAGGCCTCGCTCTTACTCTGCTCTGGAGTTTCAGTTAGTGATGAAATTGTCCATTCCCTCCAAGTGTTTTCTCTGGAAGATCTTCTGCCACATTTGTTGCCACATATGGTGTAAAAAGCCTGTAGCATCTCAAATGTCCATAGATGACCACTTAACTAGCCTCTTGCACAGTCTCCATGGATATGAGAAAAACAAACATTTCACACAATCCAAAAATCCCTTGTGTTCAGTCCATCAAAGTTTTTCCTCTGAAGAACTTTTGCCATATTTTGCTGCCACATATGGTTTAAAAAACCTTTAGCAACTCAAATGACCGTAGCTCCTTCACTAGCTCCTGAGCTAGCCTCTAGCGTGGTCTCCATGGATACGGGAAAAACAAACAGCTCATTTCACAAAATCCAACATTCCCTCACTTTAAACTGCACATGCTGCACTTCTTAGTTGGTTAAAATCCCATGACAGGATATTAAAAACTGAGCTCAAAAAACAAAAACTTTCAAAATCTGCTCAGTTTGTGAGCCAGATAGCAACAAATGCAGCCAACCACTGCGTTGCCATGAAACCGATAATTTTAAACCAATAAACATTAAACCAATAAACATTAAACCAATCTATCATGCGGTTATTCCATTACAGGTCTTTTTATTGCTGCAAAAATAGCTTGAAAAACATCCAGTCTTACTTGGAGCAGGGATGTTTTACCACAGATCTGACCTGTAACTTGGCCTGTGGGTGTCACCTGCTTGTCGACAGGCATGTGGCTGACTTTGCAGGAGAAACATTCCATAGTGCAGCTTTTAAAGGCCCTGCCGTATGAAACAGATGTTAATCCTAAAACATCAGTATTTTGATAGTTAAAACACTAATCCTGCCATGTAGTGATTCTCACCTGCACCTCAGTGTTAAAATATGAACCACTTACGATGTTATGACATGTGAATGAGTTCTTACCCACATTTTACTCAAACGTGTTGTTACAGGTCGCTGGACTCCTTAAAGACCGAGACTTCTCCCTCATGGCTCTGTCAGAGAACGGACCAGCGTGTGAGTTTGAAAATACCTGAATACATTTTTACTTTTTATTTTGATCTGTAAAATTAAAGTAATATAATTGTGTCTAAAACTATTTATACAAGTATTATTTGGTGTTTTAGTGCTGAAGTGTGAATATTGTGGAAACCTCGCTCCTGCCAGCCAGTTCAGAGGCTCCAAGAGATTCTGTTCAAATACGTGCGCCAAGAGGTACAGGCTGCTTATGTGTACTTTTTTGTGTTTTGTTTGTGTTTGTTTGTTGTTATTTTACATGTATTTGATTTTATCCTGGAGTGGTCCAGTATGCACTATTTTCTTTTTCTGTGTGTGGCCAGTGTTGATTTCAATATTTTAAAATGTATAGTAATGCCAACAAATTGATCTTTAGTGAATGTGTGAAGTGACTTTACTACAACTTTTCATTTTTATAAACTAAAATGGTACTTTTTATGGTGATTGTGTAGGTTCCTCTTTAGCTTCTTTGCTTGTTTATTTCCATTAGAAAAAAAGATGAGAAAAATATAGGGCTGACAAAAACAAAAATTGTGTACATAACTTATGATTGACAAAAAGTGTGCAAAGAAGGGCTGCCAAAACATGTGAAATTCCTTTACAGTTAATTCAGTAAAGCTATATCTCACGTAAACATTGATTGCATGTTTTTTATTGCTGCAGGTATAATGTGAGCTGCAGTCAGCATTTCAGGATCAGCCGAGGGAGGAGTGGAGCAGGACTGACACCAGAGGGCGCCAGACGCAGAGGAGCCTCACGCCGCAGCGTCTCTGATACCAGAGCCAACAAAGTCCCAAACAGACACCTGCCCATCAAGGTACGACCCAAACACGTGACCTCCATCCATCTGAGGGAATGAACAGGGTCTAAGGCTACGTTTATATGATTACGGTCTGAACAGAAGACGCAAAAGTGGCATTGCGTCTTAACATTTTATTCTGCATTTAGACAAGTGTTTTTGGGAGGAAATCTGCGTGCATACGGTGACGTAAAAGTGTGGAATTTGATTGGGTATGCATGCCAGGCGGCTAGGTGGTGACACTAGGTGTTGATGTATGTGATGTAAACTCGTACGCGACGTGAGCAGATCTGTCCAGAGTTTTGCGTCTTGGGCAGTGGAGACGGAAACGCTACAGCGAAGCATATTCAACTTTTCCACTCTGGAGGATGGTTTCAGATTTTTGAGTTTTTAAGCCCCAAAAACGCGTCACCGTCTAAACGAAAGGCACTTCCGATAAAATATTTTGTTGTTTTTACCTGCAAACATTCTCATGTAAACAGGCCCTAATCTCCGGGTAAATTTACTGCAGAAGTGGGCCTACAAGCAAAGTCTGGGAAGCTCTGGGAAGTTTTATTTTGGTTTTTGAGTTAATTAAATTCCCTTTATGGGTGGAATTTTGAGTAAATTTTATGATTGAATCCATGGATTTCGGAAATTAACACCAACAATTCAAAACAAAATATCTTATGAATGTTGAAAAGGGCTTAAAATGGCATCTATAAACAGGATTCCGAACCCCATGAATAAATAAATTGTTTATTGCTATGAAATCCAAAAACTTTGAAATGTAAGTGATGAGGCTTTGTATGTTGCAAATTCTGAAGAAAATTTTGGCATATTTTAGCAAAGGCTTTAATTTATAACACAAACTTTACCCAACAGTTCAGTTAAGGTCTTTGATTCTCAGCTCTTTTCATCTTCTTCTTCTTCGTGTTTTTTGAAGAAACAAAAGTAGAATATCTAATCTTTTTCTTTATGTTTAGTGTCATTCAGAGTCGAGTCACTCTGAGGAGGTGTCCAGTGACGGAGAGGACGACTCTGCCTCTCTATCTGCCACCTCATCGCGCTCCGGCTCCAGAGCTGAGGCCCCACAGTCCGACTGCTCTGCCCCGGGGTCAGTGCCTCTGGACGGGGGAAGCTTTCTGTCCTCCACCCCGGCGCAGTGGAGCGTGGAGGAGGTCTGCCGCTTCATCTCCTCTCTACAAGGTCAGTGATTGTTTGCAGATTGTTTGAGAGCACAAGACTTTTTTTCAAGGTCATTTTTCACAACTTTTCACAACATTTTTCACGTTTCCCAGTTGGTGTCCATTCGTCTGATGGGGAAAAGCTGGATTGCAAAAAATTATTTCACAACAATTCTTAAACCTGATCAATTACGCAATATTACTGACAAGATCGTTTTATATTTATTAAGCCATAAATTCGGCATATTCAACTTTTTTGGATGTGGGTCTGCCTCTTGCTTGTCTAAGGCTACGTTCAGACTGCAGGGCTTAATGCTCAATTTGAATTTTTTTGTGAAATCCGATTTTTGGGGGGAGGTTGTTCACATTTTCAGTTAAATGCAACTTGTGTGTGATCTCCAGTGTGAACTTTAAACGCCCCAAAAGTGTCCCGCATGTGCATTAGAGGACACGATGACGTCACACACAGCGAGCGCGCTCAGTGTTTACTGAAGTCGCCTAAACACTGGGTTTGTCTCCCAAATTACGGTCCAGTTCTTTGTAAAATGAACAGGTTACTTGTCCACAGCCGCTTCATTTGTTTGAGTCTTTAGCCTCCTTGTATTTGGCTCGCAGGCTCTTTGATTTTCGTTGACACTATATCCAGGATCGCCTGTAGCCACGCTCGAATAATTTTTTGTCAATCATTTCAAACATCGCCTGGTTCCGATAAGATCCCTCCAATTTGGTGTGAATACAGCGATCCCCCCAAATATTAATTAACTCTCTAACATTGCTTTCCCTCCATTGATGAGACTCCAAGCCTGACGTGTAGGTGGGATGAATGTGACCTGGCCGTTCAGACTGTCACATGTCAAAAAATCAGATATGTATTGGTTTTAGGAGCACATATCCAAGTGGCCTAGGTCGCATTTGAAAAAATCTGAGCTGTGTCGTTCGGACTGTCATTAAAAGATCAGATACAGGTCACATAGGGGTGAAAAAAATCAAATTTGAGTCACTTCAGGCTGTAGTCTGAACATAGCTTAAGTCTTTGGTGCACATGAACATTGAACATTTTACACAAAACAAACTACTTAATGTCAGATTTTAGCTGAGAAATTTTTAAATGAATGGGATTCCTGCTTAACCACAAACCCCAGGACGGAATAAAGTCAATATAATGTTACTATTCATTCAGTCATGACTTAAAGCTTTAATTCTTATGACCTTTTTTGTTTGTTTTCCCACAGGCTGTGAGGAACTGGCTGCTCAGTTTTTGTCCCAGGAGATTGACGGTCAGGCTCTGCTGCTGCTGCGGGAGGACCACCTCATCTCCACCATGAACATAAAACTGGGACCAGCGCTCAAGATCTGTGCCTCCATCAACAGCCTGCGCGAGTAACCCAGACCGCAACATGAACCACAACATATCATTTAAGGAGTGTTGAATGTACAAGTTTACTTTTATCACTGCAAAAACTAATATCTGCATTAGAGTTAAATGACTTCAATCCCCCCCAAAAAATGCCCCAAACATATTTATTTAGTTATAGACAAAACAATCACAACTGAACCTTTGTTGCCTTAACCTGCTCTGTAATGATGCCTGAAGGTGCTGGAGTTTAGGTAGTGAGGATTCAGATCAGAGAGAAGCTTTTTTAGGTTGATTTCTTGATGGTTTTAGTTGTAGGACCTGGCAACCCGTGTGAGGCTCATTCGGCTTTTATATTAGACAATCGGCTTGAGAACCAAAACACCAAATGCAAAAATCAACAATTGTTATGAGTGAAATCAGTACAGTCGTCCCTCACTATAACGCGGTTCACCTTTCGCAAGCTCTCTGTTTTGCCAATTTTTTTAGTGCAATTTTGTCTGCTTTTTTTTTTTTTTTTTTGAAACTCGTTGTGTTTCTCCTCCTGCGTCTTGATTGGCTAAGGGGCCAAGATCATTGTCAGTCAGTCTCCTCCGTGCCGTGTCTCCTGTACAGTACAGAATGCGTTCATCTTGACAAATTTACATAAATGTTTGATCGCTAGCAGTGTGATTCTGAAGTGTTGTATGTTTGCGAGTTTTCTCCCCTACAAAACCATCAATATCGACGAAACGTTCTGCACCGACAAAGGCTCCTGCGATCACACCCAAAACGCAGAAGAAGATGCAAACCACTGCTCAAAAAGTTGGACTTCAGGACATGATGATGGAAGGGAGAAGTTACGCGGCTGTAGGGCGCCAATGTGGAATAAATTGAGCTTTGGTTTGTTACATAAAAAAGGATGAAAATAACATAAGGACAACAGCAGCAATAAGTTTTAAGAAGGATGCAAAAAGGCTTGTAACTGTCCTGTCTGAGAAAAGTGTATAAAGTGTGTGGTTTTTACAGCCTTAACACATATATAATTATTGTAAAAAATAAGAACGTAACCCCCGCGATAAACGAGGGGCCGCTGTATACAATTTGAACATGTTAACTAAATGATAAAGAAAATTCCCTAAAAGAAAAACTGTACCTTTCTGAAAGTAAAAAGTATATTTATAAATCTTGCACCAGTGGCATTTTGTTGGTTAAATTAACAAAACTATTCAAATTAGTACGTACTCGATAAATGCTGTAAACTATTATCTACTCTGATCAATTCTTAAATTCTGAATTCAAGCCATTTTCACTTGTGTAGATATTCTTTTTTGCAGTGTAGACCCTGAATGTGCAAACTCGTGTTACAAGAAACATAAAAGTATTTTAGAGATTGACTAACTACAGAAAGTATTCAAGTTTACTTTTTAGGTAAAAAACAAAGTCACCTTCTTTATTCACTCAGTGCTTTAACTTGAGCCAATTGATGAAACTTTTGTAAAATGTTTGTAGTCTCAGAGTTTAGCTGTTTTAATCCCGGAGGAACCATAGGACTAGACCTGGTTTTACAATGACAGTAGTTTTTACACTTTTAAAATCTAGTTTTGTACGTCTATGTTTTTTACAAATGTATTTTTCCACTGTTTTACACTAAAGCTCTATGAACTTTAAAGACGCGTTATGGATCATTTCTGGTGAAGGGTCTGCTACCAGTTCTTCTCCATGGAGATGTTACTGCTTTGGTTGGTATGTTCGAGGGTATGGCATTAAACGTAACTGTCTTCAAGTCAAGTCAGATCTGTGGAGAGGCAAGCCAGCTCACATAGTAAGATTTCAGGATTTTCAAGGACAGTTTTTAGCAACAAAACCTATAATTAAATACTTCTAAGCAGAGAAGTTTGAGGCTATAAAATCTTCCTCGAGTCAAGAAGGTGGTGGTGGGTCCTCCTCCAGAAAAAGTACATAGTGCAGCTTTAGCCCGCCTTTACCTGAATGAGGTTCTCTGTGTACTTGTATGCAGTACTGCCAATAAACTTGAACAAACTACAACAGGTTTTGCTTCTTGGATTTTATTATTTTATTTACATGTTGATCTTGTAAACATTTCTTTTAGGGATGGGACAAGATCAGGACTGCTCCATATAAAAAAAAAATAATTATGTACCGTAGTCATTTGGTTGAGCTGTAGAGGAAAAATAGACTTACTATAATATTAAAGAGCCTGTGTCCCATCCCGATTTATTTACACACTCTGTCTTTACAAATACATTATTACATTTATTCTCTATTAAAAACAAGACTTGTAAACTATCATAAAGTGACGTGCAGCTCGGTCCTGTTTACATTTCACAAGTTCTCATTAGAACCATCACAAATACGAACAAGTTATTTAAATACAATATAATTTAGCACTTTTTGTTCAAGTTTAAACTTCTTATGCCCATACTGATTCGACCAACATCTTTAATCTTTCATTAATGTTCACATGCCCTTTTGATCTGGTTGATCTGTGGCACAAGAGGCTGTGTTCAAATCTCACACCAGTTCATATGAAGTCAAAATATTCCCCAAAAATAGAGGGGACTATATTCTTTTAAGTAACAGAAAATACTTATATGAAACCTAATTAATTTGTCGTTTGCCTTCATAATGTACATCTACATTTCATAACTTATTGCACCGTTAACTGGCAAATATGATCACTTAATATCGCCAAAGAGGAAAAGTCTTATAGGTATCAATTAGTAACAAGATATGGATCAATAGTAAAATTAGTATGTAAACTAGATACTCATTTGAAGTATCAATACAAAAAAATTTAAATAAAACCTCTTAAGTTGTAGTTTTAGAATAGTCTTGATCATAAGTAGTAGGGATGTAACGATATCCAAATCTCTCGGTACGATATTATCACGATATGCGTCTCAAGGTACGATATTTATTACGACATTTTGAAGAGGCTGATATAATTGTAGACAGAACATGTTTCTGATTTTAAAATACCTTGAAAAGATTTTGGTGTGAATTATTTCCATCATAATCTGAAGAATTCAAGTAAAAAACACGTTTCTTTGTGTTGTTTGCACTGAAATGAATCATGGGATATGTAGTTTCGGATGTTTATAAACTGTTGCTACTGTAAAACCATGCATTTAAGTAAAGAAACTCATGATTCGATATATTGTGAGACTTTTGACGATACGATATCACGATATTTTGGTTATTGTTACATCCTTACTAAGTAGTATAGACCACCCGGTAAAATTACTACTATTATTTTTATTATTATGTAATGCCTGGTTAAATAAAGATAAAAATTAAAAGTGTGAAAATTTCATTAAACCTATTTATATATAAAATTAACATCCAAATATGAAGATTGTATGGGAGACAGAGGTTTACCATGCATCACAAAAATTATATTATCAAGATGTTCCTTCAATATTAGGATCAAACTGATATTATAGTATCGTGACAACATTTTTCTTTTATGGTCTGTCCTTTACCCCAGACCTTTAATCTAATCTTTCTACAGACATCACGTGAACACTGCCCTTTGTTTGTTTAGAACACAGTGTAGTTGTTGGTCTCTCCGTAGCCCGCCTCCTGCAGGTACTGCTCTATATTCACTGGCCCAGGAGACTTTATGGGTTTATCAGACGCACTTTTCTCTGCAGACGAAAGCTTTTTGCTCAGATCCGTCAAAGGGGGGCGCTCACTCTCCTTCCACTGACAGCAGCTTTTAATGATGGAGTATCTGTCATGGGAAAAGAGCGTTAGTACTTGGCATGATCATTTTGACTAGATATTCTAAAATGTATTTTTCTTTTTTAAGATTTTTCTGTTTGGTTTTAAGTACCGTTGGTCTTATTTCAAGGTAAAATAATCTTAATCTATAATCTATGTGAAGTGCAAGGAATATATGAAATAAGTTAGACCGTGTAAGTCTTGTAGGTTTACTACTAAAAATCATATCTTAACATGTTAAAATAGGTACTAGATTATGTCTATGGCAATATTGGTTCAGATTCAACTGAACCTCAGTTACCAGTGTCATAACCTGCAAATAGAGCACACATACCAGTACAAGTTTGTCTCATTCTCAGTATAAGGACAAACCTCATGTGAAAGCTCAGAACCTCCAAAATTCCCTCTCTAAGCTGCAGAGGCTGCACTAACACTGATTCATGATAGCTGCAGGTGTTGGAATTTAGATAATCACTTTTCAGATCACGCTAAAACCATTTTCCATTGTATTACACTGTTGTACTCTTATCTACTGTTGTCACTGCTACAGAAAAGTATACTATAAATACTTCCAAAAACAACGATGTCAGTGCTTACAGGTTGTTGGAGCAGTTGAACGGCTTTTTCAAACTTTTCCCACGCTGGTGAAACTGGATCAGCTCATTCACAGGGATCTCAGCAAACGGCGCTTCTCCTAAAATATGTTTATATGAGACACATTACCATTATGTAACAAGTCAGATTTATGTGATGTTGTCTTTTGTGTTAATGTTTTCTTACCCAGTGATGCCATTTCAAACAGCATGACTCCAAATGACCAACTGCAAAAACAAACAGGAAGAGTCATTAAATTAAAAAGTGTGAGTGTAAACGTGTACTTTATTGGAGTAAAGTTTATGGATAGTTTTGATTTAACATACACCAAAAATATCTTGAAACCACCATGAAATATTAACAAGCCTGCATGACTTACATTGTTCCAAAGTGCATTGTAAAAGCAATCATTTGTAAAACAAAATGAGAATGAAAAAAGCTGCCCATGCATTTTAGAAGTCCTTTTGTTACAAGAGAAAGAATTGAAAACTAATCCAGACAGCTGTTTATCAGTCATGGTTCAACATTAGAATAACAGAAGGGACTAAGTTGTTGGGGCATTCAGGAACACGGCATTTTAAGTTAGAAAATGTAGATTTATTATAGAAAAAATTACCAAAACTAACACAAATGAAGATAAATATCGATACTTTGCAGCGGATGTCATCAATATTCTGTGGGGTGTGATGTTAACTGAAAGTACTCAAATAAGACTTAAATTTGAGCTTCATTTTCACACAACCTCAGCAAAAATAACTGACTTATCTGAAATTACAACAAGTGAGATGATTTCTGCGCTAAAGCAAGTTCCTCACATAGTTTTGTTGAAAGTCAAACACTTAAACAGGACCGTGAACGCTCATATTTATCACAGGCTCCAGAAAATGTACTGACTTTGTTTTTGACTGTGTTTGCTAATGTGTGTCTCTACGGCAATTTCTGAACATTCCACCAAAGACATACATGTAGAACACCCCCAGCGTGATGTCTCTGGAAAGTATCAGTTATTAATCATGTCATATGGGCCCGGTAGTTGCGTCACACTCACATGTCGCTGCTGGGGCTGGCCGATCTCTTGGATAAGCGCTCTGGGGCCTGCCACTTCTTCATGCTGGGGTCGTCCTTCTGGGTGCCCTGCTGGTTTTTCCGGGTGTAGACTCCGTGAAGCCCCCACAATTTGGCCGTGTACTCTTTACTCACCAGGACACTGCGGGCTCGAATGTTCCCGTGGAGCAGGTCCTTACTGTGCAAAAACTCCTAAAAGCCAGAGAATAGTCAGATAATGAGGACAGAATATTCTAACTGCATTGGAAACGTCTTTGTTATATTCAAGATCTAAAGGTCCACTATGTAGTAGGGATGTAATAATAACCAATATATCATGATATTGTACTGTCAAAAGTCTCTCAATAATATCATGGACCATCACAATATATTGAATCACAAGTTTCTTTACTTAAATTCATTGTTATGCTGCAGCAATAGAGAGAGGGAACTACATTGACCATGATACTTTGCTCCGTTTTGGTGCAAACTACATGAAGAAAGAAGCAGTTCTAAGCACTTTAAAATTTTAGTTCTTTGAATTAAGTCTTGTAAAGGCATTTTAAGAGGAGAAAGTAGCATATTCACAATTTTGTTAGCCTCCACAAAATAATGCAATAAATATCGTATTACTCTTCATAGAGATGTTACTGCCAAGAAAGTTAAGCATTTAACTTATCCACATAGTGCCAAGTTACAAGTCAAATCTGTGGAGAAGTAGTAACAGGGCTGCAATAATCAATCAGAATAACTATTTTAAGATTAAGATGATCAAAATAATTGTATTTGATAATCGGAATCAGTAAGTGGACTTTTGATTGTAAAACACATGACACATTATAAATATTTTATAACAACAACACTGACATTATTAAATCAAAATTAATGAGTGAAAATTAGTGAAATTATAATACTGTTTTAATACTGACCAGTGCTGAGGCGACTTGTGCAGCCATTGTGCAAATTCTCCTCTCAGTCATTTCACAAGGAGGATCTGTGTCCTGTAAAAACAACACGGTAGCACTTTATCATAACATTAGTATATGAGTGAATGCATTAGTCCATCTTGATTCATGCATGACTCTGTGTAGATGTATGTTTAGTAGCTCTTGGCTGTTACCTGTCTGCACCTCCACAGCAGGCTGAGCAGGTCTCTGTTCTCCATCTCCTCAATGACAGTGACCAGGGGCGCTCTGAGAGACACCACCCCCAGCAGCTCCGGGAGGAACGGATGAGGCCCGATCTGAGCCAGGAACGACGCAAAGCCCAGGAAGGAGTGACGCTCGGAGGCATTGGCTGTGTCTGAACAGGCAGAGGGATGAGGATACGGGAGAATGGGTTAAAACATACAGGGCAGAGAATAGCGGTAAAGTATTCTCTAAATTCTCTAAAGAGGTAAGTAAAATAATGATCAAAATTTGTATGTATTCAAAATGAAATGATGAGCAAATGACAATATTACTATAATCACTTATTTTAGAGTTTTTAGAGTTTATAGAGGATTTTTGGTGCCAAGACGTTAAAAATAAATAAATTAAATAACCCTGTTCTCTCTATAGAGGGCACACACACCCATTGAGGCACCAGAGGTCTGATAAGTGTTTTGCCCAAGAGTCTTAGAACAGTCAGTATGCTCCTCTGCTTCTCTGGGAGCTGTGATTGTATTGACAATCTGTGGGTCACTTGTATTGTAGAAAAGAATATATATATAAAACCTTTCATGTCTGAAGAAGGGCTTGACCTGAAATATCACACTGAAATAAAAATTTGTGAGCTTCAAAGAACTGCAGTGAGAATCTGTTTCCTCTTTTGCAGAGGTTTTGTTTTTGGACCCAGCATGCAGTCGCAGTTTTTGTTGGATGCTGGATTGTTGTGCATGTCTCTATCTGCCAGTATTGTTGTTTATTAAGGCTCCTGGTTTGATCCCTGTTTTGTCCTGAAGTAGACTTGGCTTGGTCCTGTTCAAGTCCAGGTCCCAATTTTGATATGGTGTGTCTACAAGTGTAATATGGAGTCATTTTAATTCAATAATGCAAATTATAATTGTAACATCATCATCTACATATGTTATTGTTTACTGCTAAATCCCCATCCAAAAAGCACTTTAATTTCTTTAAATCAACTAATTCAAATACTTTGGACACAATGAAATCCAGGGACTCTAAAACAGTAAAAGTCGCAAGAAGAAAAATTTTGTTAAAAGGCTAATTCAAGTAGTTTACAGTATCTAGACTAGACAGTATCTAAACTAAACAAAATGTAATATCTAGATTCTGGACTTTACTTTTTGCACTGAACAATTTTTCCCCCGTTTATCAAATTGCCACTTATAACCTTAAAATTTTACCTTTGAGCACCCGGAGCACCACGTTCCTGTTGTCCATGCGCGCTCTGTACAGGGACACAGCCGAGTCGGAGCGCAGGGAGAAGGCAACGGGCAGAGGGGACACCAGGTTAAACTTCTCCGGTAACCTCTGACGGGGCAATTCTCTGGGTTGGGCCACGGGCACAAAACTGGGCTTGAAAGTGTCTGGGGAGTCGGTGGAGTCCATGGGCAGGCGCAGGCTTTTGGAGGAGGCGTACCTGCCGCTGGGGTAGGTGGATGGCGGGTGGAAGGTGGAGTAGCTGCTGGGCATGTCCAGGGCGATGCTTTCATGCTCCAGAGGGTTGAGACCGGGAGGAGCTGGTATAAAGACAGAAAGTGTGTGTTAATAATGAAATAAAAACGTGAATTACATTAGAAAATGGTACGATCCATGTACCATTTGTCCTTTCGAATTTCAGTTAAGAAGGAAAAACAATAAACTTTAAACTTAAACTTAAACAAACTTTATTGATCCACAAGGGAAATTATTTGGCCCCAGTAGCTCACACATCACAATATAATAACAAAGAGTAAAAAATATAAATAATAATAATAAATTTGAAATAATAATTAATTCTAAATGGAGGAAATAGAGGTCGAAATCTGTTTTTTTTTGTCCTTTTGACACTAAAACAGAACAATGAACTGTTTTCCCATTTTTATCGTTTTCTGTACTTAATTGAAATTCAAAACAAAGAACGGTACACAGACCTTGTACAACCTGAAAAGAATTATTCAAAAATTTTCAAAGCAAAATTAAGGATTTAACAGCGAATATTTGTGAATAATCATAAAATCTTTGTGAAAATGTTTGTTTTTACACAAAAGTCTCAAGACAGATTTTTGAATTAATCTACACATATTAATATATTAGTAGTAATGTATTAGTAGTACAAACAATAGTTGGACCCAATGGAGTTTTTATTTTATTTTTTCGTTTTTTCGTTTCGTTTTTCATTTCGTTTTTTTTCGTGTGTTCAGTAGACATAAGCCACAGCAACAGTTGCCCCAGACTGCACTGCAAAAAACTTGGCCAAAATGTAAGATATAAACACTTAAATGTATCAGAAAATGATTTAAAAATAGTGAAATGATCTGTCCATGGCTGTCCTTAGGCTGCGGATGAAAATGGATGGATGGATGGATAGATCTGTCCATGCAACAAGATAATTTTATTTCACAAGTTATCTTAAAATAAACTACCTCTAGACTAGAATTAAACAGTCTCAGAACCAGTAAATAGATGAATAAATAAATAAATCTGAAATCAAGATGAATAACCTGATATAAGTTTTAAAATCTTGGCCAGATCAGAGAAATTTGCAGTGAAAATGTTTATTTTTTTTAACAAGTCTCAAGACAGGTGTTTAACATCGTTTAAACTAATCTACACATGTTTATATATTGAATAATTATTGTACATTTTATAGCATAGAATTTTTTAATTAATACATTATTCTTTAGTAGTACACACACAGTAGTTGGATCCAATAGAGTTTTTTTTTTTTTTTTTGCATGGATGTTTAGTGGACAAAAGCCACAGCAAAAGTTGCCCCAGACTGCACTGCAAAAAACTTGGCCATATTTTAAGATATAAACACTTAAATCTATCAGAAAATGACTTAAAAGTAGTGAAATTATCTGTCCATACAGCAAGATCATTTCACTTGACAAGTTATCTTAAAATAAACTACCTCTAGACTAGAATTAAGCATCTCAGAACTAGTAAATAGATAATAAATCTGAAAGCAAGATGAAAAACTTGATATAAGTTTTAAAATCTTGGCCAGAGTGTGACAATTTTGAGCCTGCATCTGTATCCAACTATTTATCACTTGGATAAATTCATACACAGACAGGGTGTGAGAAGTGTCTTGCCCAAGGACACAACAACAGTGTGCACTTGTTGAAGCCGGGATTGAACCGCCAACCTTCATATGAGTGAAAGTTCTACCCCCGACCACTAAGTCTATAAGAAATGACATGATGATCTCTTCCTACCATCGATCCCCGTGAGCACTCTCCTGTTGTGCTGAGACCGGAAAGACTTTTTGAGATTTTGGGGTCGGATTTTGTCGACTCTCTCCGGGCAGTAACGCAGCAGCAACACAAAGACCAAAACGACAGCAAACGCACCCAAGAGCAGGACCGGCACCACTATCACCTCCTGCTCGTACACTCGGATCTCTGCAAACAAAACGCGAAAGTACATGTTTGTATTACAACCTGGACACTACAGTCAATACCTGCACCTGGAGATGTAGAAATAAATTATGATTACTGGAAATACAATGAAAAAGTGTATATGTATATGTAATTACAATTGTAGAAGCAACGGTATCTGATTTAAGTGTAATCCGTATGGCAATAGTTATGGTTATAGGGCCTCATTTCCTAGTGAGCCAGAGTGTTGGAGACATGTGGAGACACTTTTTAAAATATTCCATCCAGTCCTTGTATAGGCGAGTTTCACTGTTGACAAAAGCGCGCGATGCATGCTGGGAATTATTTTGGTCGGCGGCAAGAAACACTAATTCAACATGACGGACGGAGCGAGAAAGCACGTAAAGGGTATTGATCCTGGTTATTTATCCACTCTAACGGCAGAGGACCCAAGACCATTTGACCAGGAATTGGTCATAAGCATCAATGGACGCCAAATCACCCTTTTCAACCCCTACAAAAGGTGGACGAAACCAACTTTCTGGTCAGAATCGCCAACTACCTGGACAAATATTAACTTTGGCGATATCCACAATGACTTGGTTGAAACTCCTGGGCCATTCACAGCAGAAAAGATGAAAACCTCCAAGAGTCTCGATGTGTTGTTGAACTTGTTGAAGTCCACGGTTTGTTAGGATCTTCTACGTTTGCTCTGCGAATGTTTGAAAGCCATTTAATTCACCGTTGGTGGTTATTTTCACTCAGAATACGAAAAAGACATTTTCCTTCTTCCGTGCTTCTATTTGTGCATCCGATAATGCAGCAGGAATTTACCATTATCGGGGATAAATACGCGAGGTTACGCACTGTGTTTGACCGCTATCGTGTTTCTTGCCTATGACCAAAATATTTCCCAGCATGCAACGCGGGCTTTTAATAACAATGACATCAGCTGAAACTCGCCTATTTGCAGAGGTCGCTGGTGCTAGGCTAGTGCATGTCAATGGCCATAGTTAGCCTGCCACTCCACAAAACACCCAAAGCAAAACTATTATTACACCAGACTGTCGATGTAAATGTCTGTGTTGATAGAATAATTTCAGAAGTAAAACCAACCTTGCCTTTGAAGGATTTATGTCCAAGTAGCAGTGAGTTGTACTTCCTGATAGAAAGCTCTGCAGCGGCGGACTGATATATGAGAAAATAGTCCCTCAACATGCGACGATTCATGTGATGCAAGGTTAGTTTTATTTCAAACATTATTCTATCAACACAGACATTTACATCGAAAGTCTGGTGTAATAATAGATTTGTTTCAGGTGTTTTGTGGAGTGGGTAAGACTGTTTTTAGTGGCAGGATAACTATGCCCATTGACATGCACTAGCCTAGCACCAGCGACCTCTGCAAATACAAGGACTCAAGGCTCACTAGGAAATGAGGCCCTATGTCCAAAATTCCGGACTGTCCCTTTAAGAGATCTGATGAGATTAGGCATTGACAAGGTGATTTTTGGTTTAAACATTCAGTTATTTGTCCAGAAGTTGTCAAACTGAATAACTCATTTACCTTCACACTGCATCGCTTTGAGAGTATTTGTTGTGTTTTATGTTTTGTTTAACATTAAGACATAATACCACACCATTACTCGGAATGTAAGGATATCCAAATCCCTCAGTTCAATATTTTGATGATATGCATCTCATGGTACGATACTTACTGTGATATTGTGTGGAGGGCAACAAAATAGTGAATATGCTGCTTTTTCCTCTTAAAATACCTTGACAAAATTTAATCCAAAGAAATAATATTTAAATGTGGTTATAACAGTGACAGAAATGGAGCAAAGAATCGTGGTCTATGTAGTTCCTTCTATTTTTTAGCTATTGCTGCACCATAACTATTAATTTAAGCAAAGAGACTTATAATTTGATATATTGTGATGGTCCACAATGTTATTGTGAGACTTTTGGCAATACAATATCACAATATTTCGGTTACTGTTGCATTTATATACAGTATAAAGACAGCTCCACCCCCTCTGTGCTCTGTACTCACCACAGATGGTATCTCCGTGTTTGCAGAGATAGTCCGACGACATCCTGTTAAAAGTCAAACAAGGAAAATCAATTAGACCATGCAGCTTTCTATATCACATTTGCTTCAACTTGACTGATTTACAAATGAAATTACTTGATTACAGTAGCTCAGTTAAAATAGAAAATGTGCACTATGTAACTTTTCTGGTAGAAGGCCCATCACCTGCTTGTCTCCAAGGAAATGTTGAACTGGATGTTGGAATGTTCTACTGATCTAACAAATATTTTACTAACTAACACTCAATTTTAGTTGCACTACGTTTGAAACAATAGTAGGGTTGTAATGATATCCAAGTCTCACGATACGATATCATCACGGTATGAACCTCACGGTACGATATTTATTGCGATATCGTGGGAAAGCTCACAATATGGTGGAGAGGCTCATGATTAAGGATGTAACAATATCCAAATCTCTCAGTGCGATATTTTCACAATATACATCTCACAGTATATTTATTGCGATATTTTGTGGAGGCTTACAAACAAAACTGTTAATATGCAACTTTTTCCTCTTAAAGTGCCTTGACAAGACTTAATCCAAAGAAAGTGCTTAGAAGTAGTATTTCTTCTTGTAGTCTGCACTGAAATGGAGCAAAGGATCATGGTCTATATAGTTCCCTCTGTCTTTCAAGTCAAAGAGATTGTAAATCAATATATTGTGATGGTCCACGATATTATAGTGAGAACTTTGTCAATACGATATCACGATATTTCGGTTATTGTTACATCTGTAAACAATAGGTAATACTTTTTTTTTTTTTTTTTTCCACAGTTATTTGGTTTTGCAAGTACATTTTCTTACATGATTTGCACGTTTGTTTTTCTCTTACAAACTGATTTGTAACACGACTCTGAGGCTGCAACCAGGAGAAGAGATCAGAGAGTAACTTAGACCAGCGACCGCGGCTTTTCTTACCTCTACAAAACACTAGCTTCTATTATTCAGTCTGGACGCGCACACCTTAAACATCACTGCTGCCGTAATTACATGTACTTATGCTTAAAGTACATTTGACAGGTTCATATATATTTCAAATTATCACTTGGCTTGGTAGGATAGTACCTGTGTTAAATGTTTGTCGTATTTAGTTCATCATATGGACAGTTTGTGAAGAAGAACAAATAGCAAAAGCAGAAATTCAATATGTCAACTGGAGAAATGTTTATTTGGTCGAATACGTTTCGCAGCTCAATCCAAGTTGCTTCTTCAGTTCTGGTCAAAACGCTGGTGGATACTTCCTTATATCTCCCTTCAGGTAAATATATATAACATATAACAAATTGAACTTCTTCTTTTACCATGGATGACTGAGGGATTTTACACACATCTTGACAGAAAACAAATAGTTGTAAAATACAGGAAGGAACAGTGAGTTCTAAAACGAAATACCTCTGCCTAGGTCATAAACTCTCATCAGTCCATCCAAAATACAGAGACAATTTACACAAGGAAGGCATTTTTCTGACCATTTTAACATTGATTTAAGAAAATAAAAGGTATTGTTATTTACCGTATTTTCCGCACTATAGGGCGCTCTGGATTATAAGGCGCACTGTCATTGAATGGTCTATTTTTTTACTTTTTTCACATATAAACCGCACCGGACTATAAGGCGCATTAAACGAAACACAACAGTTAGATAAGTCAGTCAAACTTTATTTAATGCGTTCACAATAACTCTCAACTTTGTAATGCGTAAAAAAAAAAAAGAAAAAACTTTCTGAGACGCTAAATTGTTGGTGTATTCACAATAACTCATAATTGTTTAAACAGTTGGGCGATTACGGCGTCCAGCACGCCAACATCCCTCTCACCATTATCCGAGTCAGTGTGGTTACTGTTCCCTGGCAGTTCAGTGATGATTCTGGTCTTGGTGAAAGCTCGGACCACAGTTGATACTGATCCTTAGCCCAGGTGTCCACGATCCGTTGGCAGATCGTGGCGTAAGTCACTCGACGCTGTCTCCCTGTCTTGGTGAATGTGTGTTTGTCTTCTCTCCGTTTAACTTTATAACAGCCTTGAGTTTAAAGTCGGCGTTGTAAGCGTGTCTCTTGACAGGTGCATTTTGATATTAAAAAGAATCACAGTATGTATTACTCCTGATGCTCCTGACTATGGGAGCCGTAATGCTGCAAGTGGTGCGGCTTTGTAGTTTACTAAAGTCGTACTAAGACACCCCAATAAATTCATATATAAGGCGCTCTGGATTATAAAGCGCACAGTAGTTTTTTAAATTAAATTAAAGGCTTTTAAGTGTGCCCTATATTGCGGAAAATACGGTATTTTTATTTGTCAAATCATAACTATTGAGTCAGTTACGCTTCATTCATGTGGTCCTCGGGAACTCGGGAGTTCAAGATGAGATGTCAGGGCTTGGACTTTTGCATTTATTTTATGATTTTATCTTGGAAATTCAGGATGTTAATGTTACCATCAATAAAATCACAGTTAACATAACTTCATAAGTTCTTGTTGTCTAGTCTTTTCAAAACTAAACAGTAAACACACAAAACAACAGACAGACCTCTACATATGTCATATCTGATGTAAAATTATAAACTTCATTCAAATTACAAAACTAGAAAAGACTAGGCGAGCCTTTTTTATTAACCCGAGGTTCTGTCAATCAATAGTTTTAATGAAATTACTAGTCTAACCTGTCATATGCACTTTCATTTTATAATCATTGAATGATATGTTAATTATTAGCTGCTCAAACTGGAAATAATTGATAGGAGTTGACACATTCTTACTTGTTACTGGAGCCCTGGAGCTCGGAATAATCCCGCCCTGTTTACAGATAATTTCCGTGAAAATACTAATACTAACTAGTATTCAGATTATGTTAATACGGAGTAAAAGTTGAGTTAAGGTTACGATCAAACATACCAGAATTGAAAAATAATTTTATTATCTTATTATCTTGCAATTATTCTCCTGTAAATTCAGTCAGAAACTCCAAACAGATCTCAAAATTATTAGGATCTCACAACATGTTTTCTCTCTCTCTATTATGGTCCATATCAAACCATATAATACTGTAAGAAAATAATTCGTCAATTAATTTAAAAAATGTTCAACGAAGACTCCATCGACCGTTTAATCAACTAATTGACAAAGTAAAAGTAAATCGTTGTATAATTTGGTTTGATTTTGTGAAGCTTTTTCAAAACCAGCAGAAGGGTAATCTATTAAACAGTTGGAATGAAAGTGAATTAAGTATTTCATTGTTCTTAATAATAGTCTGCAATCATTTAACAACACAGTACTCAACAATTTAGGGTTAATATCTCAAATAACCAGGTCTATCCACATGATTTTTGTTTTGTTTTAACAATGGCTTCAGAAAGTGGTGCCATTATTCAACCATTATTCACCAAATAAGTGATTGTTGTCAGATGAAAGCACTTAATAAAGCTGAACAAACAGCTCCGCTCAAACAGTCAGAGATTCAGGACTATATTTATACCAAACTCCATACAACTGTACAACATTCACCCTTATGTAACAGATAATACTCCCTACAACTGTAAAACAACTCACCCTTTATGTAACAGATAATACTCCCTACAACTGTACAACAACTCACCCTTATGTAACAGATAATACTCCCTACAACTGTAAAACAACTCACCCTTATGTAACAGATAATACTCCCTACAACTGTACAACAACTCACCCTTATGTAACAGATAATACTCCCTACAACTGTACAACAACTCACCCTTATGTAACAGATAATACTCCCTGCAACTGTAAAACAACTCACCCTTATGTAACAGATAATACTCCCTACAACTGTACAACAACTCACCCTTATGTAACAGATAATACTCCCTACAACTGTACAACAACTCACCCTTATGCAACATATAATACTTCCTACAAGTGTACAACAACTCAACCTTATGTAACAGATAATACTCCCTACAACTGTACAACAACTCACCCTTATGTAACAGATAATACTCCCTACAACTGTACAACAACTCACCCTTATGTAACAGATAATACTCCCTACAACTGTACAACAACTCACCTTATGTAACAGATAATACTTCCTACAACTGCACAACAACTCACCTTTATGTAACAGATAATACTCCCTACAACTGTACAACAACTCACCCTTATGTAACAGATAATACTTCCTACAACTGTACAACAACTCAACCTTATGTAACAGATAATACTTCCTACAACTGTACAACTACTCACTCTTATGCAACATATAATACTCCCTACAACTGTACAACAACTCATGTATACATTATGTAACAGATAATATTCCCTACAACTGTACATTTTCCCTTATGTACCAGATAATACTCCTTACAACCATACAACAACTCATGCATACATTATGTACCAGATAATACTCCCTACAACCGTACAACAACTCATGCATACATTATGTAACAGATAATACTCCCTACAACTGTACAACTCACCCTTATAAAATAGATAATACTCCCTACAACTGTACAACAACTCACCTTTATGTAACAGATAATACTCCCTACAACTGTACAACAACTCACCATTATGTAACAGATAATACTCCCTACAATTGTACAACAACTCACCTTCATGTAACAAATAATACTCCCTACAACTGTACAACAACTCACCTTTCTGTAACAGATAATACTCCCTACAACTGTACAACAACTCACCTTTCTGTAACAGATAATACTCCCTACAACTGTACAACAACTGACCTTTATGTAACAGATAATACTCCCTACAACTGTACAACTCACCTTTATGTAACAGATAATACTCCCTACAACTGTACAACTCACCTTTCTGTAACAGATAATACTCCCTACAACTGTACAACAACTCACCTTTCTGTAACAGATAATACTCCCTACAACTGTACAACAACTGACCTTTATGTAACAGATAATACTCCCTACAACTGTACAACTCACCTTTATGTAACAGATAATACTCCCTACAACTGTACAACTCACCTTTCTGTAACAGATAATACTCCCTACAACTGTACAACAACTCACCTTTATGTAACGGATAACCATATGTCCTGTCAATCAACATCGTTTTTGCACTTTTTTTCCCTTACAACCTCTTGTATATAGCTCAGATATTTTTTTATTACTTATTTTCTATTTTATTTTGACTTGTACATTTACATTTACATTTATATAATTATGCCTTATTGACACTGTCTCTTGCTCTTTTTTGCTACTTTACGACTAGAATTTATATTATCATTTATATTTTTTTACTCTTTGTTATTATAATATATTGTGATGTGTGAGCTACTGTGTCAAAGTAATTTCCCCTGTGGATCAATAAAGTTTGTCTAATTATAACTTTGATTAATATGACAAGTTTGTGGAGCTGATCCCTAACACATAATGAAAAGACAACATTTGTTGATCCTAACTGTGTATATTTCTTGCACGATTAATCTCCTATAGAGTTACGGCCACTATCTGAATTTATGAAGGTGAATGCAACTTGCTAAAGAGCATATGACAGGTTAGAGTAACTTTTCACATAAAAGTTTTACACAAAATCTTGCCTAGTTTTGTGTAATTTTAATTCTAATTCTGAAGTTTATCATTTTACTTCTGGATATGGCAGCAGTAAATATGACACACAATACATACTCCATAAATAGCAACCCTAATGGTCACTAGGGGTGTGCAAAAATATTGAAATATCGATATATATTGTATTGTTTAATGTTGTTCAGTATTGATATCGTGGGCTGCTGTATTGTTATATTACCAAGAGTATATTTTGATACATTTTACTAAATTATTTTGTTACAGAGCTACAGATTTGTTGCTTGTTCAGAGGAAGGAAACTCATTTATGCAACATATTTGACATTTTTTGATTAAAATGTTTGTGTTTCATATGAACTTTGCACAAGAAGTGGTTAAACAAAGACTTTTAGTATCACAGCGATGATTTAGCTTTTATTTTTTACTGAATTGTATCGAATTGAATTGAAATACCAGTATATTGTATCGAACCGTAAGCTCACTGTTTCGAGATATCGTATCATGGCCTATGTATCGAGGTATGTATCGTATCGGCAACTTCTTAATGATACTCAGCCCTAATGTTTACAAGGGCCAAAATGTGTCACACAAAAGTTATTATTAGAAAAGTGTGTTCCTTGAGTGTGAACTGTCCCTGGATTTGGGATAGAACTTTCAGCGTTGTTGACATAGTTAGAGGTTTCCCTTGTTGGAACTCGTGTCTCTTTTTCCCACAATAATCCTAACACCGTAACACAACATTCCCAGAACTCTGAAGGGTCACCTGATCTCAGCTGACGTCATATCAAAGATGTCTGAACCTGTTTCGCCACATTTCTGCCACACAACACTGTGACAGTAGCTCTCTTCCCGCCCTCTGTGCAAACAAAATTACCCACAATGCACCGATGAACGCCAGCACTCCAAACGTGTCCTTGAGCACACAGAGTATATAGAGGTAGTTTCATTCACCATCAACCCCAGACGAGCCACGTTCAATATTTAAACAGGACAATGCCTTTTTAGGGAATTAAATATCCCTGTGTCTTCCCATAAGGTCTTATTATGTTTAAACCTACTGATCCTGTAGTTTAGACCAATGTTTTATTAATACAGTGCGTTGAACGTATAGAAAACTGAATTTAAAGATACACTGTGTACCTTTTCTGGTTTGAATTTCAATGTATTTGTGTGAAAAACATCAATTTAACCTTATAAAAAGTAAGTTGTAAGGGTATGCCACCTGCTTATTTTCGTAGAGTTATGGACCTATTACTCGGCTTAAAATGTTCCATACTATGGCATTAAACGTGTCCTCTGCACAGAACTAAATATCCTTGTCTTCCCATAGAGTCTTATTATCTTAAAACTTGTCGAACCTGTAGTTTAGACCTATGTGTTACTACTCAAATGGAATTTAAAGATACATTATGTACCTTTTCTGGTTTGAATCGGAATGTATTTGTGTGAAAAACATTAATCTAATCTTATAAAGAAGTACCAATAAGTTGTAAGAGCATGCTACCTGCTTATCATTAACAAAACTTTAATGTAACCTTATAAAAAGTAATATAGAGTTAGGAGTTATGGGGTTATTGCTTTGCATAAAATGTTCCATACTATGGCATTAAACCTGTCCTCTGCACAGAACTAAACATCCCTGTCTCCTATACAGTCTTATTATGTGGAAAAACTGCTAACCCTGTAGTTCAAAATTATGTAAATGCTTCTAGACGTGCAATGAATCTACAGAAAACTATATTTAAAGATACATTGTGTAACTTTTCTGCTTGAATTTCGATGTATTTGTGTGAAAAACATGAATTTAACCTTATAAAAAGTAAGGTGTAGGGGTATCAAACCTGCTTATCATTAACAAAACATGAATTTAACCTTATAAAAAGTAAGGTGTAGGGTTTGCCACCTGCTTATCTTCATAGAGTTACAGAGTGATTACTTTGCTTAAAATGTTCCATACTATGGCATTAAACCTGTCCTCTGCTCAGAACTAAATATCCCTGTCTCCTATACAGTTTTATTAGTTGGAAAAACTGCTAACCATGTAGTTCAAACGTACATGTAAATGTTCCTAGACGTGCATTGAATCTATAGAAAAACTACATTTAAAGGTACACTGTGTAACTTTTCCTGCTCATCTCCATGACATGTTATTACTAGGGGTGTGAAAAAATATTGAAATATCGATATATCGTATTGTTTAATGTGATGATACAGTATCGATATCATGGGCTGCTGTATCGATATATCGCCAAGAGGATTTTTTGGTGTATTTTACTAAATTATTTTGTTACAGAGCTACAGTTTTGTTGTTTGTTCAGAGAAAGGAAACTCGTTTTTGTGACACATTTGACATATTCACAGTTTTGATGATTAAAATGGGAGTGTTTCATATGAACTTTGCATAAGAAGTGGTTTAACAAAGACTTTTAGTATCACACCCAGGATTTAGCCGTTATTTTTTATTGAATTGTGTCAAATCAATTTGAAATATATCGTATTGAATTGTATCAATCGTATCGTATCGGCATCTACTGAATGATACCCAGCCCTAGTTATTACTGCCAAACATGTTCATTTGACCTACTATCACCAGGCCAAGTGGCAGATCAGGTCTGTGGAGAGGCGAGCCCATTCAGCATATTTTTGAGCAATAAATACTGCCATTATTATATAGCTGTATACAAACACATTTACTGCTATACTGTGTGACATTTCAGACAAAGCAACGGCATCGCCATGGAGACCAGTCAGTGGCGAGCCCCTTTAAAAGCAATTGTTTTTGATCGTGAGAGTTGATTTAGAAAACTAAATCTAAATCATGTGATCTTATTATGTATAAAACCTGTTGACCCATATAGTTAAAATCTCTGCAAAGACGTTTGCAAACTAAAAACTATAATGTGATTCTGGATTTATCTTATTTTATTATAGTTTAACATGTTTTGAATCTTAATTTAACTAATGTGTTACTCTGCAGCGGCAATGACAACAAAATAAAATCCTGTCTCCATGTGGTTTTATAAAAGCTGCTAATCCTGTAGTTAAAACCTCTGCAAACATGTTCAGAATAAATTAATATAAATCAAATTTTAATTAACATTGTTCAATTGATTGAAATTCAGTCATTTTTAACTGTCAGTGATCAGCCTGAATCATTTTATTAATCAATAAATTAAAAGCATGTGGTCTGGAGCAGAGTTCGGACACATTTTTTTAAATTTTAAATGTCAAAGATTAAATGCCTGTCTTGTTTATGTTCAGGAAATTAATATTGAAATATATAATATATATCTTTCTCTTCTCTAATAAGATAAAATTAATTAAAAAACGGATTGCCCAGAATAATTAAAAAAGATTCATTTATCATATCACTCAGCTTTTTAATACATTTTTTAGTTTGGTTTCAAGCATAAACTAAATTTGTTCAATTATGATATTCAACAGTGATCATAAATTCAAGAAAAAATCCAAAAGCTGAATTGAAAGGTTGGATTTTTTATGATCTAGTAGTAAATGTATAGCTCTTACCTGTTTGTTTTTGGTGTTCTCCTCTTCTAGTCAGAATGTATAGTCCAGAAACATGTTATAAGTGATAAGTTTATCTGCTTTTCATTGTCTCTTCAGCACATCTTCAGTGATCTTCATAAGGAGTGCCGCCGCGTTAACAGCCCATCTTGTTTACCTCTCCTCTGTGTCCGGCTCCTGGGAGCAGTGCTGTTACTCTGTTCTGTTTGTCTACCTTTAGCTTGACTCCGCCCACTCCACCTGCGCTGTCTCCTTCCTCTTATCTCACCAATACCTGCCTCAAAACACAGCAATCAATATCACTACTACAGCTTTGTAATACTTTTAATACTACTAAAGAAATCCCTAGTTGAATAATGAGAGTTAAGTTGGCCTAATCCGAGCAGAGCAGTGTGTTCCAGTAGCCCTGCCTATCTGGTCATTGTCTGCCAAAACTGGTCCAACAGCTTTTTGTCATTTTTAGTTCACCGTCTTTTGTTAAGCGCGTTTCCCTCATAGCGAGACAACCCGTAAAGCCAGATTTTGTTTCCCGAGGGCATTTGGCGAACAGTAACAGTAAAGGGTTTAACTTCATTCCTTTACTGAATTAGAATCTATAAAATGTGCTCTGAAACTTTCAATTATCGTAATTATTATTCCTTATATAAATACTTGTGAAATTATACATGTGTGCTTCTTCATCTAAACAGTGATCATGTAATACTAATGTGATTTTAAACCACAGTGTTTAATCTAGATAAATATATACAGTTTTATCACTGAATCAAAATGTGAATTCCACCCGTAGACTGTCCTTCTGTGAGTTAATCAGATATTTAAAATAATCACTCACTACTAAACAGAGTCTTTGTGTTGCAAGTCTCAAGTAATTTTCAAGTCTTTGACCTCAAGTCCGAGTCAAGTCCCAAGTCAAATACATGCAAGTCCAAGTCGAGTCTCGAGTCACTGGCCCATAAGTCCAAGTCAAGTCCAAGTCGTCTGCTTTGAGCTTTAAGTCATTTCAAATCTTTAAACTAAAGTACCAAATACATCTTCGATTTTTGCAATTTATATCAATTTTAAGATAAACTGTACTTAGAAAATCATAGTATATTTATATGAGTATTTATAGAGTATATAAAGAGTTGCAGAACTTAATCTAGCTCAGTTTTCTTTTTGAAATGTCTTGACAAGGTCTTAGAGTGAATCATTACAATCAGAACACACAGAATTCAGATTTAAAAGTGCTTTTCAAGTCTTCTCAAGTCACAGGCCTCAAGTTTGAGTCAAGTTCCAAGTCACTGATCTTCAAGTCCAAGTCGAGTCCCAAGTCTTGGCCCATTTTATCAAGTCAAGTCTCAAGTCCTAAAAATAGTGACTCCAGTTTGACTTGAGTCCAAGTCACGATTTGCAAGTCCCCACTTCTGCTACTAAAACTATAGCTCCATCTGCAATTAATAATAATAAAATAAAATACTTCTTGTTCTTGTTCTGCCCCTTTAAACCTTAAAAACAAAGCCATTTGTTTAATCTACAGTGTATCTTAAATATTGAATCACAAAACATGACTTACACACATTATAGCAATTATACTTATGACAGTAATAATTTTTGACCTTACATAAATGATTGTTTCTTATTATCATGCTTAAAATATTGGCTCAAAATGTACATGCTATAACTCAAATCTTGCCAATTAAACAAATTAAAACAGGCAAGTGCTCAAAGCAGTATGTAACTTTTCTTGCACAAGCTCCTCTACCTGCTTGACTTCATGACTTAAAATGTTTTGCCTGGAATGTTCCACAGTGTGGCATTTGACATATATTTCCTACAAAGAGACAAGTTACAGATCTGATCAGTGGAAAGACGACCCTGCTCAAGAATGTATGTTTTTCCAAGTTATTTTTGAGCGATAAAAAGCCCTGTAATTGAATAAATGTAAGATAGATGTGTTTAATGCCATACTGTGGAACTGTGGAAAAAAAAAACCTGATCATAACCACAGCCAAAACGGTAATACACATACCTTTAAACGTAGATTGCAACATAATGTGTAAAAGTAATCCATCTAAAACCCCGTATGTCCCCATTTGACCATTAAGAAACAGGAGTTACGCCCTGGGCCCTGGATCTGCGCAAAACAAACAGACTGTCATTCATGTTTACAGTGAGGCTAAAACATGTTTGGATATAACGCGGTGTGTGTTTAGGGAGCAGAGGGGGTAAAAGAGCCAAAAATATACTCAAGTAACAATACTGAATTTAAAATAGTATTACTCAACTAAAAGTAAAAGGTTGGTGGAAATAATGCTGATCAAATATTTGGTGAGTAAAAAGTAACTGATTTTAGTCTCAGAATCAACCAAATTGACCAGATTTACAATTTATACCAATATTATTTATTTTAATTGACATCATTTTAAGTTATAAGTATACAAAAATGCCACTTTAAAATATAATAATGGGTAATAAGAATGATGTTACAATTATAGCTGCTTTGACACATATAGGTAGTCAGGCTGGCGCCACCTAGTGCCTCCACTCAATTTCATTTCTCTCCGGCAACTAGGTCAGGAATCGAAATACACTAGACAGTTTACAAGAACCGTGGAAGTGTGAGTCCGGGCACTAGCCAGTCAGCGAAGAGCCATACATTCTGTGTTGGCAACGATTCCAGAGATCAAGGATTTAAAGCCGAAACAAAGAGAATGTTTGTTTGAATTTTATCAAGGGGAAAGACGTTATTGCCCTTCTTCCTACGGGATTTGGTGCTTTACATACGTCACAACCAAATAGCAGTGATTAGTAAAATAACAAAGTACCCGCCTACCGTCGAGCGAACGAATCCTAATGCTGCGAGGTCAGACGGTTTCCACGAAGTGAAACCGGCTGATGAATCAGGCTAACATATAAGCCCATCTGAGAGTGAAAAAATGTGTAGAGAAGCCATGCTAATCAAATAAGTTAGATTTTATTCATGAAATCTTAGCACTTTACATAATGGATTTTGTAGTTTTGTTCCCATCCTTATATTATGCATTATTAAAGGATAAATTATGTAAAAATGTGTCTTCAGTTAGAGATCATGCTGACATTACAGAATTGAAAGTACTTCGATGACCTGTTTTGTTCACAATACTGCGTGTGTGTGTTGATTCTAGGCACTGACTTTCAAAAGGCATTGGAATCTTATAAATTGGCAGAGATTTTGTCAGGCTGAGGCCCAAGCCACTTCTCTCCTGAAAAAGAGAGAGAAGTACTCATTAAATGTACTGGATAAATTGTAATATATAAAAAGTTTGCTAGATTGTTTTATTAATGTCATATCAAAATGTGCTCATTTAAAAAGGTGCACAAAGTATTTTTTCTAGTGCTGCCTGCTTGTCTTCATGGAGATGTTACTGCTTTGCACAGATTGTTCCATACTATTTGGTTAAACCCAATTATCTCCACAGAGACTACACCAAGCCAAGTCTGTGGAGAGGCGATCCTGCTCAAAGCAAGAATGCATGTTTTTCAAGGTACTTTTTGAGCAATAAAAACTAAACTAAAAATAAATGTACAGTATAAAGATACATTTAACACTCTACTGTGGAACATTCCAAGATAAGCAACAACATCTCCATAGAAACAAGCTCTATGTAACCAGGAAAGTTACATAATGCACCTTTAACCATTGAACAGTTGTCTTACCGATGCAGTAGGCCATGAGTTCAAACCGGTCTGATCCAAAAAACATTTCTTTCTTTTCACCCATGTGACAGATAATCATGGGGAAACCAAAAGCCTGAAGTATCAAAAAATAAAATAATATTCATTTTATCATTTATTTTCTTTTTCAATTAATAATTTAGCAAAAAACTAAAAGGACTGCCTACCCCATGTTCCAGTGCTTCCTGTGTTGCATTCTTCAACTTGTCTTTGATTTTGACTGTGGTTATCATCGCCAATATTTCTTCGATGTCCTTGTGAGACAGTCCTGCCTTCACACCTGCCTGTAACACACAAGTCTCATTACCAATTCAAGGCCATACTGACTTGTCAAAGCCTGATCTTGGCAGATCTCAGAAGCCAAGCACAGCAGGGCCTGGTTTGTTCTTGGACGGGAGATCGCTGGGAATTCCAGGTGCCACAGTGGAGCAGCAGTGGTAAAACTGTTCTTGTCCATGGGCAAGACACTTCACCAACTGTGCCTAGTAAGAATGTGATGTGTGCATGAGCAGTGTTGGGGAGTAACAGATTACATGTACTGGAGTTACGTAATCAGAGTACAAATTATGAGTAACTGTATTCGGTTACAGTTACTGTTTTAGTGAGTGGTAATTGGATTACAGTTACTTGGTTGAAATAAATGGATTACACTGCGGTATTTTCCCGTTTTCACATTCCAGGCTATATTCTTTTTTTTTTTTTTCTTCCCTCGGTAATTCCACTCATTGCCGGACACTAAACCAGGTCTAAAACCAGGACTAAAACCAGGACTAAAACCAGGACTAAAACCAGGACTAAAACCAGGACTAAACCGAGACTAAAACCAGGACTAAACCAGGTCTAAACCAGGTCTAAAACCAAGACTAAAACCAGGACTAAAACCAGGACTAAAAAAAGTCTAAAGGTCTAAACCAGGTCTAAACCAGGTCTAAAACCAGGTCTAAACCAAAACCAGGAAACTAAAACAGGATTTAACAGGACTAAACCATGCTGCGTGGACCGTGTCTTCACCTCTTCTATCAATAATATTTTTAATACGGTTAAGTAAAGTCTGGGCTTTTTATTTTCTTTAAGCAGACAAAACATTTTATGTGAAAATTTTCTCGTCTTTGCTTCTCTACAGTAAATCAAGTAATCCAAAGTATTCAGATTACGTTACTGACTAAGTAATTTAATGGATCACGTTACAAACTACATTTTGGGGTATGTAATCTGTAATCTGTAGGGGAATACATTTTAAAAGTAACATTCCCAACACTGCACATGAGTGGTGGTGGTCAGTAGTTTACCAACATCTAGTGTGGAGTGAATTAATAATGAAATATAAAGCTTTTGGGTGTCTGGAAAGGCACTATGAAAATCCAGTGCATTATTATTATTATTATTATTATTATTATTATGCATTTAAACTGTTAAAATGTTTATACACAAACAGTGGTGTTACCTCTGCGAGCGACTCTGGTTTGGTGATGTCTTTGTCTTCGCTCCAGATCCTCCTCCACAGCTCTCGGGACACACGCTCCACCTGAGTGTCTCCTCCCACCTCCCTCTCCTGGACCGCAGTCACAAAACGCATCGCAGCCAAAGATCCTGTGAAAGCAGCCAGCACACATTATTAATTTACAGCTTTTTTTCTGTGCAATTTCCCACAACAGTAAGTCTACTTCATAATATTATTGAAGGTTATCTCATTTTTATTGATGTATTTTAAATATATTGTTAAGATGGTAAAAAGGTTGATAAAATTACATTCTGATAAGAGATAATAAAACACACTTTAAACTTTATACTAAAAATACCGCTACATGCAGTGACAATGCTACATTTATTTATAACTCTGGGTGTGTTTCTAAAGAGATAACATCATTATACCGTGCCTTAAAGCTCACAAGAATCCATTATGTGTAACACGGGACTTTAAATAAAGCCTTTAGCAGATGATACTTCCATCTACAGATTTTACCTTTTTTAAACATTGTCTCAAAAGGATCAGCTGGGTGCTTAAGAGGGACATTGAAGTACTGGGCCAGGTGGTTCAGGTCCTTGTTCATGTACAGAAACTTATTGGGCACCATACCAGGAGGCTTGTTTCCTGTTTAAAAGAAAAGTTACATGTTAATTTAAGGTTTTCTTTGTTGATTCCTGTATGGAAATTAATGCATCTGACCCATTCTTCAATCCCAAGAGGGCAAGCAGTGATTAAAGTTGTCAAGCATTGTTGGTATCTTTAATTTTCCTTACCATTGTTGGTATCCTTACGTATTATTGCAATACAGTTATGTTACCAAACTATAACAGAGACTCTTTGTCAGAACTTGTAAATAGTTCATATAGTTTAATGTAAAATGTCTGAAAAATTAGAAAGAAAGCTCATTGTGTTAGATTAGAAGATGGGGGTGGGATTAAATAAATTTTCTTGTTCCCGCTCCTTTTTGGGCCAACTTTAAACATTTTTGTTGTAATTTTTTGTTGTATTGTTGCTATGATTTCATTAATGTTATATGTTCCTTTGTAAAAGAATGTAAATTTCTTACTTGCCCAAAATAAATACATACATCTCAAAAAGCATATCAAAAATTGTTAATCAATACTAAAAATAGTATTTTTACTGCACTGTCCTATTAAGTGTTTAAGAATGGTCTTGATCAGAGCATTATCAGACTACATGGTAACTAATATTGTATATTTGAAAGTTGAGCCTAATCTTGATAAGAATATTTTTTATTCAAAGATACAGATTTGCACACAGGAGATTAAATGCATTTTATTTTATGCTTTTAACTTTGTGTAGATTACCTGCTACATGCATGACGCCTCCCAGATATGCAGGTCGTAGTTTCAGATCAATGTTCCACACATTTCTGTATCGACATATCACCTGAAAACACAAAGCATGAAAAATGTCAGACCAAAAGACTGATGTTGATATTTTAGTGGGTTGTAAGCATGAGGTCTATGGTTGAAGGAGACGATGGAAAAATAATCAGTACCTTAAGGTGAAGTACAAACAAGTTACAATCAAACATTTTAAATACACAAAGGTTTGTCACGTATTGCCTGCATTTAATGAGAAGAAACCAGATCCACTATGTACAGTGTTGGGGAGTAACAGATTACATGTACCGCCGTTACGTAATCAGAGTACAAATTATGAGTAACTGTATTCGGTTACAGTTACTGTTTCAATGAGTGGTAATTGGATTACAGTTACTTTGCTGAAATAAGTGGATTAAAGGCGGTATTTTGCTGTTTTCACATTTTGTGCTACATCCCATTTATTTATTTATGTAATTCCACTCATTGCTGGAAATCAAACGGAACGCGGCAGTAAGAGCGATGTAACGCGTCAGTCACACAATGGACGAGGTTGAAGAGCCAGTAGAACAGAGCCAGCAGTGCACAGGTAAAAACGCATTTGTGTCTTGGAAATTCTTCTCCCGACGTGATATAAAATCGCCTACAAGTTAAATGTCAAACTGGAGCTACTGGCACTGGTGAAAACAACCTGCATAGGCTCATGAAATCTGCACTACTGTCCTATAGTGACCTGCCACACGAGGGGACGCGCACACAAACACCCACAAACACACACCTTCATCATCATCATCAACCTAAGAACACGCGGACCACGTCTCCTTCCGTAGTTACAGCGCGGACACCACCATCCTCCCGTGCGCCGTGTGTGGACCGTGTTTTCTCGCATACGCTGCGTAAACCGCGCTTCCTCCTATGAGCCTCTAAACCAGAACTAACACCAGGTCTAAACCAGGTCTAAACCAGGTCTAAAACCAGGTCTAAAATAAAACCAGGACTAAAACCAGGTCTAAAACCAGGACTAAAACCAGGACTAAAACCAGGACTAAAACCCGGACTAAAACCAGGTCTAAAATCAGGACTAAAACCAGGACTAAAACCAGGTCTAAAATCAGGACTAAACCAGAACTAAAACCAGGTCTAAACAATATGTTGACATATGACATAATTTAAGGTGATCTCATATAAAAATTATTTCTCTATCAATAATATTTTTTAATATAGTTAAGGAAAGACTGAGCTTGTTATTGCCTTTTAGCAAACAAAACATCTTATGTTAAGATCCTTGTCTTTGCTTCTCTACAGTAAACAATTACCTGTTCATGGAGACTTGGGCTCAACAGACAATTTGACAAGAACAAACAAGAATTTTCAGGATGTGGTTGGTACATTCATGTCGTTTTAAAAAGCATGACAATATCAAGTAATCCAAAGTATTCAGATTACGTTACTCACTTTAAGTAATTTAATGGATTACATTACAAACTACATTTTGGGCTATGTAATCTGTGATCTGTAAGGGAATACATTTTAAAAGTAACCTTCCAAACACTAAATGATCCTGGGTACTCTACCTGTTTGGCTCTTTTGCTTTGCCTGGTGGAATGTTCCACAGTATGGCATTAAACTTACCTGTCTCCGTGGAGAGAAACAGGTAATGCCACCACATTTTTTATTTTATTTTTTTTCATTTTGTGCAATAAAATACTTGTAACTGAATGTGTGTGTTTAATGCCACAAGCAAAAGACAAAACAATCTCAATGCAGGTGGCAAACTCCAAAAGTTACAGATGCACCAGCTGCTTTCAACTAAATAATTATCCAAAAAAAAAAGAACACAAACCTCAAAACCGAGCCAGGAGTAGGGAGACACGACATCGTAGAAAATCTCTACCACTTTTTTGGATGCCATTTTCAAACCGCGATCTCAAAACTGTGCAAAAATAAGTGCGTATTTGTATTCAGGGGCTTTACTATCTCTTCATGTACCAAAGTGACCCTCAGTGCAGTGTGTCAAAGTTCATGAAGCGTAGACGCTTCCTGGCTGCACGAAGAAGCGGCTCATGCATGAAATCTTCTGCAGGAAATCCTTAGAAACGCGGATTAAAAGGCCATAAAATGAATTCAGACTGAGAAAACTGCAGAAAAGTCTTTGCAATGCTGGACTCTGCTCTTCTTCGTTTTGTTTAGGTTGAAATTGCATTCCAGACATATGCCCACTACCCCCATCTAGCGGACAAATGGAGGAAACTGCAGCATGTGTCTATTGACGAATTAAAGATGCACTATGTAACTTTTCTGTTGTAGCCACCTGATTAGGATGACCAGACGTCCCTATTTACCCGGGACAGTCCCAGTTTTGAGCCCTGTCCCAGCAGATTTATCCAAAAACTAGTGATTTGACCCAGTTTTATACAAGAAATGCCCCAAGTGTCACTATCTTTGATTAATTTGATACCTGTCAACAGAGGTGTGGACTTGCAAGTCGTGACTTAGACTCGAGTCAGAATTGAGTCATTATTTTTAGGACTTTGAGACTTGACTTGATAAAATGGACTAAGACTTGGGACTCGACTTGGACTTGAAGGTCAGTGACTTGGGACTTGACTCGGACTTGAGGCATGTAACTTGAGAAGACTTGATGTTTCTCCTAAAAATATATTTTTTAGAAAATACTTTTCTCTTCAGTTGATAAATGTGCTGCATTTTACAGGAACAAACTGGAACATGTCTTTCCCACTTCTCAGTTTGTTATTTTGGATGTAACTGAAGTACTGTGATGTAGTATCCTCAAATGTACTACAGTAATATACAATGCAATACAGTAAAACAGAGGAAACTACAAAGAGCATGATCCTTTCATTCCAGTGCAGACTACATGACAAAATAACTGCACTTTTAAATATGAATTATTTCTATTGTGACTGTAATGATTCACACTAAGATCTTGTCAAGATGCTTAAAAAGGAAAAATTAGCTTTTCTACAACTCTTATATAAATCCTCATATATAAATATACCATGACTTGTAAGTACAATTTAGCTTAAAAGTTATATAAACTGCAAAAATGTAAGCAATATTTGGTTTAAAGACGTGAAATGACTTGAAGCTCAAAAGCAGACGACTTGGACTTAAATTGGATTTATGAGACAGTGACTCGGGACTCGACTTGGACTTGTCTATCTTTGACTTGGGACTTGAGGTCAAAGACTTAAGACTTACTCGAGACTTGCAAAACAGTGACTTGGTCCCACCTCTGCCCACCAACAGTAAAGAGAGGCATACTTTGTGATTTGTTTAGGTAAAATACAGAAAAACTGCTTAAAAATAACCAAAACACAAAGAAAATTTGACTATTCTGACTCACATTAGGGCAGAGTGCAGAACAATTTTCCTTAATTACGCACTCGTTTCACAATTTCATTATTACCAACCACCACAAACCAGGGGAAGATTTGTGGAGAGCCAACCCCACTAACCGTAAGAATATTTTGAAGCTATTTTGGAGTAAAAACACTAGTAATGTAATAAATGTCATATAGACATGTCTAATGCCATACTGCGGCACATTCCAATCCAGGTAAAACAAAGTAGTTGCCCATTAATCATCTTATTATGGCTAATGATCGTAAGTAAAGAGAGACAATGCAGTGTAAGTGTCCAAAAACATGAATAGATGAATGCATTGTTTACAAAAAATTCAGTTCACACGTTTCTCCACACATTTTATTAGCCTCACACTTTACTGGAAACTATTAAAAAAACTTAAATTATATCTTCTGCATCTATGTCAATAAAATACTATACAATTTTACTTTTACACCTATTTACAAACAGGACGTCCACAGGATCAATAATATAACGACTACAGCAGCTACTGTTCAACAAAGCATCATATCAAACAGTGTTATGAACAGTGTTTTATGTTTCTTCTTGAGGACTTGGGTGGTCTTTGATTTCTGGTCCCACTCCGTCTGAATTTGTGGAGAGAGATGCTGAAGATCTGTCACTGGAAACAAAATATTGTAAATTATCACATCATCTACGGTATATTTTTTATGTATTTGTGATATTGATTTGTTACCAGTGACATACCTTTCTGAGTCCTTCTCTGTCTGTAAAAGAAAGTGTCAAAAGTTGAAAATTAATTAGTAAAGTGGACTATATGTTAGAATTTTATTACAAATTGAGAGCAGAATATTTCATTTGTCAACTTTGTGGTTTAATGTTCATGTAAATTAAATACAACTAATTTCCCAGTTTGTTATTTTATTTCATCTTATTAAAACATATACATTTTTTATAGTTATAATTTTTTTATTTTATAATAGTTGCCATTAAAAAATATCCCAATTCATGTTTTATCAAATACTTTGCTGCCCTACACCTCAATTTTGAACAAAGGGCTTTTGTTACATTACATTTTTAGCAATTTATTTTGTCTTTACCTTGTGTTTTTGTGAAGACGTGCCAGTTTTTCGAGGTACCCCAAGAGTTTCAAATGAATGGCTCCTTACTCGGATGGCTCTCTAGAATAAAAAAATTACAATCACCACATGCTAAATGTGCGCTGCGTAACTTTACTGGTGACTGTCTCCATGGGCTGGGAATATGGGCTGGAATATGACATTATTAGACTTATCTAGCCAAACTCTTCAAGTAGATTGGCTAGATAAGTCTTGGTAACAGGTAAGATCTGAGAGGTGACCACACAAAAATGGTTTCAAGGTACTTTTGAATAATGAAACCATCTAAGCTGCTAGATAAGTTTATACTGTGTAACATTCCAGGCAAAGCGATAAAATTTTAATGGAGAGAAGCAGTTGACAAATCCCCCACCAGAAAGATTACACCGTGCACCTTTAGAATTTGTAGAAAAAAAGTACCTTAAAATTCTCTATGAAGCCTCCAGTCCCCTCAGAGGCCGTCCTGATGCCTTCTGTCTGAGAGAGCTGGGCAGACAGAGTCGGATCTCCCATCATGCATTGCGATCGTGTGAAGAGCTCAGTGCGGAGTGTCTCAAGCAGCGATGACCTTGTGCGCAGCTTAAAAACAAAATCTGAGGAATTAACACTAGGAAATAGCAAACTGTACACAGAAAAATTCATATTATCAATAGGCCCATTAGTTAAAATGACAACAATTCAGAATATTAATTTCATATTGAGTAGTTTTAATCCTCTAGGCGACACTGTCGACTTAAGACGACAAGAGGCCGCACTGAATAACACGGCCAATTGTCAAATAGGGTGTCAAATTTTCATTTACATAAAATAATATGCCCCCTCCAGGTCCTTCAGTCCCTTCTAGTGTCACTAAGGTAGTTACGCTAAGGTTGCATTGCTAAGGTTGCGTCTTTAAGGTAACGCCACTATGGTAACGCAATGTAACGTAATTATGCTAATGGTTGCTATGGTGACAGTTGCTAAGGTAATGGTTGCTCTGGTAACAGTCACTATGGCAGTGTTACTATGGAAGCTTCACTATGGTAGCACCACCATGGTAACGCCACTAAGGTAACGTGCTATGGTAACGCTGCTATGGTAACGCTGCTATGGTAACGCTGCTATGGTAGTACAACATAGCATAGTTATGGTAATGACTGCTATGACAGTTGTTAGGTAACGGTTGCTATGGTAACAGTTGCTATGGTAACGGTTGCTATGGTATATGGTATATAATCCTTTTTGCAGTGTGCACTTTTTAATGTTTGTAGTACCTCTAGTTTGCTAAACTGCTCTGCTTTGTAGCACGATATTTCAGCATTGATGAGTTTGGTGAGAAGAAATTCCCTCAAGAGTGAGCGCTAAAATTCAAGAAAGGAAAAATATTACTTCAAACTTCCTGAAATTGGGACAAAATTATGTGTAATTTTTATATCTTACATCTCTGAATACTGGAGGGTCTGGAAGTACAGGGCAAAAGTTAGGAACATCGTCTCGGGCCGTGACTGAAACCTAAAAAGTACAAATCATATTTGTCTGAAGAACAGTGGTATGAGGGCAGAGAATCACTTTTTGAACTGACCTTTCTTAAACAATCAAAATCTCATAATTTCAGCAAAGATGATAACAAACCTATGAATTTACCATAATGAATTTATAAATGAAGGCTGGAGAAACACACTAGGGATCAGGCTGTCCTAGTTTAGTCCTGGTTTGGTCCAGATGTAAGCTTGTTTTCATAGTGCTCTAGTCCTGACTTGGTTGTAGCTAATGTTTTGTGATTGTTCTGTTTTGTCATAAACTCATTTGATATACACCCTTTTACTTCTGAACCATCCTCACATTTCATATTAAAAAAGTATCGGTAACGTACATACTGTGCTGCTAAGTGTGTGTTTACCTGATACGCATACCCACTCCCTTCATCACTATTGGCGAGCCTCCGGACCACCAAAAAACTGTGTAAGAAATGGGACTTGATCACATCTGGGAGAAACGGGGTGTGTCCCTCCTGATAAACCAGTGCCACGATGTCATTGCCAATGTGTCTTTTTCTCTGCAGCTTTAGAAACAAAAAAAAAAATAAAATTCACACTTTGTACTAAATTATAATGATTGACTTAATGTGTCTGATATAAAAGAGCTTCTGACCTGTTGAGGGTCACAGTCGGTGAACGGCAGCTTGGTGGTGACATGGAACATGATTTCTCTGCCATGAAACGACGTGTAGACAGCTTCACTTCCTGTTTGGCCGTGACACACGTCCAGGCCTCCTCTGAATCTGAGACACAGGGAATATGTCATTGTGTGTGCTTACTTATTACAGTGGATATATTACACATTTTGTTATGATTATTTGAAAGTGAAGACGTCATACAAATAGAGTTCAAAATGTCCAGTAGCCATTCTTCAATAATGAACAAAATGAAAAATGGCGATCTACTTATGTTAATGCTTTTAACATTTTAACCATAAAAGCATAATACGTCTTCTTTAAATACAAAGAGTTACTAATATAAAAAGAAAACATATAGCCTACCCAGTGAAACCTTGGAGCTGGATCGTCTCACCCAAAATTGACAGAAACTCTTTAAATTCATCACTTTCTTCATTGTTACTGAGTATTTCCTCTTCCGTTAACTAAAAAATGAACACAAAGTATACAGTATATTACATGAAGTATATTTCACAATAATGTCATTTTGTAGCGTACCTGTTTATCTTTTTGATACAAAACACCAAATTTAAAATTAGGAGACACTCGATGTTCATCAAATGTCTGAATTAAATCTGGGGCCTAAAGAAAAAGAGAACACTTTGAAGGTAAAATTAACATATTTATAAAACCAGGCTTGTTCTGAAGTTGCAGCTCACCTTGAGGTAACAGACGGCATCAAACTTTGGCACAGTCACTTTATCACAAAGCATCTGCAAACATAAGTTAATGTCTTAATTTCTTTTAGAAAAGATGCCTCGCAGTGAGCAGCCGAAATATGTCAAGAAAAACACATCTGTCAGTCTGACTAAAAGAAAAGAGGAAGTTAACTATCAAAACTCAAAAACTGCAAACAATCAAGACTTCACTGAGGTATCTTACACTATATAGTTTAACTGACTTGCAAAACAATATTTATTTGATATATTTTTCTATTTAGGGTTATCAAAAAATCAATACTAAAACTAGTATCAAAACTAGATGTTCATTTGAACCAGATCAATACTGAAAAATTATCATAAATAGAACAAAATTGAACTTTTCTTAATAAGTTTTGGTACAGTCTTGATTTATATCAGAACTCGTCAACATATTGATAGAATAATATTAAAAAGCAGCCATTATAAAAATGTCCATTGTATTGTCTCTCTAACCAGTTTTGATCATCATTGTGAAACTGAAGCTTCTCCTTCGTATCGAAATCAAGTCTGAAATTGTAATAGCGGCAGTGACAACTCTGTTTCCTAAAAGTGTTTACCAGAATACCACGATGATAGTGATAATAGTTACCCAGTACACGGCTCTTTACCTTTGCTAATTCAACTGTGGACGGGATGTTTGGGAACAGTGACAGAGAGAAAACTCCATGCAGCGAGCACTCCTTCATCCTGTCACACAAGACAACATGTTGGAATGTTTCAGTATAAAAAGTACATTTAAATTCACTTTTATTAAAAGAGTTTTACCGTAATATTACTCTAATTCTGTTCTCGTCCTCTTCTAAACAAACAGACAGCACCAGTGACCCCAGGCACGGATCTACTGCCGTGAACGAGTGATGATACTGGGACAAAACATGAAAAAGGTTTATATTAAAGGTGCCCTACGACCTCTGCCACCAGCTTGTCTCCATGGAGATGTCATTGCTTTTCCTGGAATTTCCACTGTATGTCTTTATGGAAATAGATAAGTTTAATGCCAAACAGGTGACACTGACAAGCCAGGTCAGATCTGTGGAGAGGTGACCCTGCTCACTGTTAATCATGCATGTAATTCAAGGTATTTTGTAACAATAAAAACAACTCTAGCATAGATAGATAAGCAATAACATTTCCATAGAAACAAATGGCTCCAGACCCGACCATTAGAATGTTCCACGGTATTAAATGTACTGATCTTACATTTATTCAGTTAAGGAGTTTCTATTGGTCAAACATACAGTGAAAAACATCTTCCTTCTGTGAGCAGTTTGACTTGTGTTTTGCCCTGTGGTGTTACCTGCTTGTCTCTATTGAGATGGATAAGTTTAATGCCACACTTTGGAACATTCCAGGCAAAGCAATAACATCTGCATGAAACACCCTCCACCAGAAAAGTTACATAGTGCCACTTTAAGACATAATTTGAAACTCAATGAACACTTGAAGTTTAAATAAATATAAATTCATACTTACTCTTGATCGAAACACGTCATGGTAGATTTTGGCCTCTCCGTCTCTCTCCAGGATGTCGTAGCTCTCCTGATCCGCTCCGTGGGTGGAGGAGGTGGGGCTCAGGTCACTCTGCCTCTCTGATGGAGGGTCGATCCAGAAGCCACCTGCCTTGGAGGGCAGAATCAGGGGCAGTTCTCTACCTAATGTTAGGAGCTGAGACTAAAATAGAAACAGTACAGTGTCAGACAGGGATGGAGAGAGTGGTGTCAGTTTACATGTAAGTGTTTCAGAAACAAGTGTTATCGCATTAACTGAACGGCAGCATCACAGCTTTTATGACAGCGGCTTGAATAAAAATATATTTGTTAGATCACATTAGGAACTGGTGTAATTAGTTTGACTAATTTATTTTTAGTTTATCTATATTTGATTACTTGAACACTTTCTCGCTATCTGCCGAGGAGATAGTATTGCTTCGCCTGGAATGTTCCACAGTATCGTATATAGTATAAGTGTGTTTTTTTTTTCATCAATAAAAATGCTTGAAATTGAATAAAGCAAGAATGATTCAGTTTAATACCACAGAAAGGAACATTTCTGGCAAAACAATAACATCTCCAGATCACCCCCAAAAAGTTACACAGTGCACCTTTAAGATTTGAACACAGTAATTCTGTCAGTTTTGTTGGCTATCTTTTACCAGTAGTTTTGTTTTATTTTTATTTTGTTGCTGTGGTATATTTAGTTAATAACACAGATTTATTTTAGCTCAGTTTTAATTGACTTCCCCAAACTGTCACCATAATATCACTTTATAGTCCAGGTCCACTTTTTTGCAGTGTAAACAGAGCTATAAGTCTGAGTTTTCTATTGTGACATTTACCTTGAGTGGGAGGGGGAAGTGGCACCTCTGTTCATCGATCCTGCTGCCCTGATGGACAATTGAAGCTCTTAGCAACAACAGCCTGCTCTGAGAGATCAGTCATACAGGATCAATCGTACAGTCACTCACCTGCAGCTTCGCGATGAATTCAAACAACTCCGACTCCTGATCACAGCAACAAGTGGAGAGGAGAGAGCGGGACAGAGATGGGGAGAGTGAGAGGAGAGAGAGTACAGACAGAAAGAAGGAGAATGAGACACAGGATAAAAAAAGAGGAAGAACACAAAAAGAAAAATGTTACTTCTCTTTCTTTAAAAAGTGCAATATAAAAAATAGGCTGCTGTGTATGGACTGTATCTGTGAGCTGAACTGAAAATTAAATTTAAAACTGTATTTGAAAATCGCAGAACTGAATATCAAATAAAATTTAATAAAACAGAAGAGAGGGAAGGGCAAGAGGGATGATAATTCTTTTTTTCCCTTGTTTTTCTCCTTCTCTTCACTTCCTCTCTTCTCTTTTTGCCAGATAGTGTCAGTCCAGCTTAGGACAGTGTTCCTGGTCACAGTTTGACCCTGAGGTGGGTGCTGACTAGGATGGCTCGATCATCAGTGAGGCAACCCCTCTGACCCCACAGGGAGCGGGTCTGTCTCAGTTGGGAGAGTCCAGTGACTGTCGCTGACGACCCAACAGTCATTGAGGCAACCCTCTGACCCCATAGGGAGTGGGTCTGCCTCATCTGTTGAGTAGGTCTGTCAGAATATTCTATTATTATATTATATATTATTATATTATATTATAGCAGCAAAGGTGGTGAGTTTGAAAAAAGTAATCAAGAATTACCAATGCAATGATGAAAAACATAGTAATTAGTTAGAAGAGAAAAAAATCTATTTAAAAAAATAAAATAAAAGAGGGTTGATAGTGGTAAGGATGGCAAAGATGTGAGTCCAATAGTGTGAATTTGTATACACTGGTTCAATTTCAAACCGTTCTTTCAATACATATTTTTCTTTTATCAAGAATTAAGTAAATTCACAAAAAACTGTTTCAGTTTAAAACAACAACAACAAATCCCCCCCCCAAACAGTTTGTTTTCAGTCCTACAATATTCACCTTCAGTTTCTAGTTCCACAGATAAATGTCCATAACTGTGTAAGTATGACGTAGCAGTAATGACAAAAAAAATCTACATTAGGGATGTGATTCAAGTTGAAAATTGTTATTGCATTTTTACTTCTGTGTAAGTGTGAGTAATGTCTGCAGTGCTGAACTTCCCCATATAAAGAGTTAAAACTTGAATTGCCTTAAAAATCTAAATATAAGATTTGGAAATGGTTACTATTATCATTTTTTAATGGTAAATTTCTGGGTCATCACTTTTTGGTTTGAAGGACACAGACCAATTTAGAACTAAACAATCTCACAATGCTGTTTCAAAATAACTCATATAGTAATAAACACGGTGCAATAGCTATCTGCACTTTATTGTGAATTATCCCATAACAAGAGGATTTCTTAACGGCAAGATACTGGCTTGGAGTTTGGCTCTCAACCTTAAAATGCCCTGTTCCACAAGCTGACATAGGCAGGTCATCTAGCAGCTATTTTTTATAACCTTACTCAAACTAGGCTTGTCAAAAGTAGCGAAAATCAGATACTTCTCAATACTAAAACCAGGACTGAAACTAGATACTCATTTGAGCAATACTGATGCTAAAAAGCCACATTAACAGCACAGAAATGAACCATTCTTGAATAATTTTAGAATGATTTTGAGCTGTATCAGAACAAATGTAAGAGCACATGGACTAATAACCTGGAATTTACCTGAATGACTGAAGGATTACACAAATATAAGACTACAAATAAAAAAAAAGTACTATGATTTAATGTTGAATAGTATCGAACACTACTATTCCTGAGTTTTATACTAACACAATACTAATTCAAAGTATTTCAGTCCAGCTCATACTACTTTACTTTTCACTACGTCCATGTGCTCTCTACTGGGAACAAGTTTGTACCTTCTGATTGCTGCTGGAGCTGAGGACAGGTGTGGGCTCGATGGAGGGAGAGTCGAGAATGTCCATTAAAGTGGCTCCCATAGACTCAGGTCTGTAAAGACGAAAGGTAAAACTTCACTTAGGCTACTACAAACTGCAACAAAGTTAATATATAAACCGCAATAATACGAAGACAGCTCCTCACCTTGACTGATCCTCACATGATCTGTCCATGCTATTGACAAAGAAAGATTAGGATTAAGCTGTGTTCAGACTTGCTCGGGTTTAGTCCTGATGTAGACTTGGCATAGCACTAGTTTAGTCCTAGTATAGTTAGGCCATGAATTGAATTACTGCCATGAATTACTGTCATAAACGATAATACTGAAACTGAAACTTTTCAATATACTCATCATTAAAGGTCTGAGCTGCAACAAATAGAAGCAAAATTAAGCAATAATTACCCATTGAAGTAAAATCTCCCCACTTTTGCAAAGAAAATGCACACATGATAAAAACTGAGCCCCAAAATATATGGTTTCAGCTTTCAAGTATTGAATGATAAGCTGATATTGTAATTATTGTGACAGGCCAAAGTATAGTCCAAGTTTAGTTACAAGTTAAGTCCTTGTTTTGGTGGGCTAGTAATTATCACATTGCAAGGACTAAAATCTGTATTTACTCCATTCATTGGGGCCTGCCTCGTTTATGGGGACAAAAATATGGTTCCAGTGAAATAAATACTTTATTTTTAAATCAGAGACATGGGTTAAAGTGAAAATCCGGGTTAAGACAAGTAAACCCAACATTGGTGTGTGCAAATATGAAAAAAAAAAGAGGTGCTCTTTGATAAAGGTATACAAATTACATCATAAAATAAAACAATAAGAATATTATCCCGCCAAAATGTAAAACAGCAAGTTAATGTTACATGCAAATAATGTTCACTTGTAGCTACAATTTGCATAGCAGTGTTTCCAGCTGACAATAAAAACACTCAACTATTTCTCATAGGTCATATCATTCAACTTTAGATTAACTGCACCTGTACCAAAACTGTAACAAGAATAAAATTAGATTTTGGGGCAATTTTTCAAAACATTATCTGTTTTCACCAGTTCATTATTAAACAATTTCTCAAGGGTCAAATGAATCTCCTTTTGTTTCAATACTATTACTTGTAACAAAACAGTAAAAAATGTTCATTCAGAAACTATTATCATTCAGTTTCAGTATCAGTTGTACAATACGTTTTCAAATTTGCTTGTAATAATTAGTTTGTACTGACTCACCTCCCATAGGCTCCAAAAGTCGAACTTCTTTTCCTAGAGAAGCTTGTGTCACTCCTCTTGTCCATCGCTGTAGCGTCACTGGTCATGTTTACACTTTACCACAGTGAAATCAGCACTGTCTACGGCTGAAGTCATTCTCTCTATCATTCTAGCTCTGCTCCTCCTCTCCACCCCCTGCCTCTTCCTCATTTAAGCTTCTCTTTCCTCTGGCGTGCTGTCAGTCTGGAGCTTTAACCCTCTATTGGTCCAAATTGGTGTAGCCATTGTAACCTGTACAGACAGAAGACGTAGTCAGACTGGATACATGAGATAGCCATGCTTCCACTTACACTGGTGGCATGTACACAGTGTCGGAGCCTAAAGGAAGACTTCATTATAGAAAAGAAATGGGTGAGATATTAGTCCCAGACCTGTTACCCTTTGAGCAAGTGGGGATCATCAATTATTGACAGAGCTCACAGTCAGGGTGAGGAGATGGACAGCAGGGGAGGTAGAAAATGTTCTTTATTAGTGGATAGACTAGAAAAACCTATCTGGATTAAACCTTGCCATTAGTGCAAACTGTTTAAAAAGACTGGAAGCGTATTAAAAAGAGGGTTACAGATTTTAGTGATGAGGCTTTTGTAGGTTTTCCAATAGTCAAGGACACAGTGTCAAACATGTCATTGTATCCGTGATGATGCTAAAATTCTAAACTCTATTGTGAAATTGACAAAAAGACTTGACAATCAATACCAATTTTTATACCAGAATGATACTGTCAGTCTTTTAAATAGAGAAGGATTTTCAACAAACACTTATTTCTGTGGTGATTGGTTTGATATATGTATAAGGCCATACTTTAAACTGTTCAGGAAAGGTCAAATTTTGTCTTAAAGGGCCTATAGTTTATTTCCTGTGTGTTATAATGCTGTTTCATCATCACTTGCTTAACACACAAACACTTAATATTTAGTAATTCTTACTCAAACGTGTGTGAATGAAACAAAACACAACTCCAGACAAGTTTGTGATGAGGTAATAACATTATAATAACATTAAAGCTCACAAGAGGCAAATTTTGTGTAACATAGGACCTTTAAGTGTCTATTAGTATCCGGGCATCAATACTTAACAACCCTAATTACACCACTGCAAATGTGATTTTTAGTCATGCTTGTTGCTATGATATGTGGAGAATAAGAAAGCATGATCTCATGAATCAAAACTCATGCTCACTGACAAACAGATGTGACACACTGATGGTCACAGAATCTCTCATATAAATAGATTCTTGTCAGCAAATTTAGAGTTAAAAGGTCACACTATACTTTTATTTTTAATTCATGCTATTTGCTACTCAGTATGAATTATATTGGAAGTATCTACTTCACTCATCACAGTAAAATTCTGTAGTAAGATTTCACCAATACCTCACATTATTGTCAAATGTAGGCTACATTTGTCACATAATAGTGCATTAGTAAAAGTAATCATAACATTGGGGAGTAAATAGAGAATCGATCATTTTAACAATTCTATATATGTTTTAATTAACTGTCAATATACTTTAAAGGACCCATATTGCGCTATTTTCTAAAATCTATCTTATAATTTTGTTTCCCCATCACAAACATACCTGGAGTTGTGTTTTGTTTCATTCACACAAACCCTACATATTTAGGTTCAACTCTCAAACTGAAAACACTCTGTTCCACTTTGTGATGTCATGTGGTAATACAGGAAGTACTTCACTGTGTTTTTAAACTCCATACACCTTCACCAGAATCACTTGGATGATTTCAGCTCTGGAATTGCCAATGTCTACTGAACTAAAGTTAAAATATAGTTGTTAGGATTAACCAGGATTACTCAAACATGTGTGAATAAAACAAAACACAACTTTGGGTATAATTTTTAGGTGGTAGCAGCATTATTATATGGCCTAAAGATCACAAGAATCCATTCTGTGTAATGTACAAGCTTAAATAAAGGCTGAATATCATGTCACACACTAATGCAAACTGTAAAATTATATCTATTATAGGCTTTCTTAGAATTTCTTATTACTTATCTATAACTTTCTGATACCTGTTTTGTTCATGGAAAATATGGTCAATAAGGTCGCCCTGCAAAGTCCATCTTATCTATTGGTTACTTATTAAAAGGCCCATTCACAATTCAAATTTAAATTAATATTGACTTTTCAGATTCCCAGTCATTTTACAGTAGCTAGATGAGAAGCCAGCTCATTGGCCGCTTGAAACGTCAATCAAAAAATCCCTTTGCTGTGATTGGTCTAAATCCAAAACATTGCCCCCCTTAGCCCCGCCTACACCGTGCTTGAGTCACTCCCGCGGAAGTTGTGTAGAAAGTGGACGAGATGCGAATTTACATAAAAAAATAAGGAACCATATTGCCAGTGGACTGTTGTTGCCCCTGAATGCGTTGATATTAATTTGCATACGCCTAATAATACGCGGTAAGTCGTTATTTTATAATAATGCCACATTGTCTAAGCGTTCCGGTGTTAGCTTGTTAGCGTGTTAGCTCTAGCAATTAGCAACTCACATTTACTACACTTTTATTACGGTCACGGTGGCTTTTCCCCAGAGCGCGCTTCTCTCAAACTTTTCGCACAGTTTCGAGCCACAAACAGCATCAATTTGGGCGATTTTGCTCGTCTTTAAACAATAATCCCTTCTACTTTTTAAGCAGTATGATCCCTTAGTGTTTTGTCTATACATTTTGGAGTAATAGCACGTTTTTACCTTCGTTTTTTATATAAACAAATTGTCTCACATCGACAAAACTTCGTGCGTATTGTCCTGAAGTTAGTTGAGGCTTTATACCTAGAAATCATTGCATAGATTAGTTAAGGGGTGCGGTTAATCTGTCGTGTTAGTGAAAAATACCTTCACTCTGAACCTTGCTGTCTGAACTCATATGCATCGTGCACACCTATGCATGTGTTTTCTGTGTGCAGTTTAATACACCAAAAATGCTGGAGTGCGGCATGTCAAAACGTGATAGAAAGGCTCTGCAGAAGTGCTCGGCTGTCCTCTGTAAACAGATGGTGGTGGACGAAATGCTCATTCAGTCTCTGCAGGCGGACGACATTCTCACGGAGAGTATGGCAGAAGGCGTGATGGTACGTACTCATTTGTAAACAATACAACACGCACATATATAGTCATTTGTCTTAATCCCCTCGAGTAGGGGTGTGCAAAAATATTGAAATATCGATATATCACTTTGTTTAATTTGATGATACAGTACTGATATCGTCAGCTGCTGTATCGATATATCGTCAAGAGTATTTTAAGGTATATTTTACTCAATTATTTTGTGTAAGAGCTACACTTGTGTTGACATTTTCACCACTTTGACTAGGGTTGCGCATCATTAAGAAGATGCCGATATGATTCAAACCTCGATGCATAGGCCATCATATGATACATACCTCGACACAGTGCACTTTCGATTCGATACGATATATTTCAAATCGATTCAATACAGTTCAATAAAAAAATAAAGGCTGAATGATGGTTGTGATAATAAAAGTCTTTGTTACTTCTACTACTTCTACTTCTTGTGCAAAGTGAATATTAAACACACCAATTTTAATCATCAAAATGTGAAATGTGTTGCATAAAAAAGTTTCCTTCCTCTGAACAAGCAACAAAACTGTAGCTCTCTAACAAAATAATTTAGTAAAATAAAATATACCAGAAAATACTCCTGGTGGTATATCGATACAGCAGGCCACGATATCAATACTGTATCATCACATTAAATGATAACGACTTTGTGGTTTAATAAAGACTTTTAGTATCAGAACCATGATTTAACCTTTGTTTTACACTGAATCGTATCGAATCGATATGAAATATATCCTATAGAATCATACTGAATCAAACGTGCACTATCGAAAAATGTATCGCATTGTGGCCTATGTATCAAGGTATGAATCGTATTGGCAACTTCTTCATGATACCCAGCCCTACCCTCGAGTATAACTGTCCATTTACTTAAAAATACAGTGAGTAAATGTACATGGCCAGTAGAGTCACATCACTAGAATAATTAAATAGCTCAATAATTAGATCCTATAGGTTCACAAAATAAGTAGGAGTAGTAGTATCTATTAAATTACACAGTCCATTTATGAACAATAATAACATCTTGTGGTCTACTTATGAACGGAAAGTCCTCATTATATTTCCATGCCTTCTTGTTCATCAGAGTTTTGAATACTGCTCTGTGTATTGTATTCATGGTCTTTCCTTTCTCTCCTTTTTAGGCAGAGCAAACTTCTCAGAAACGTAGTTGGCGTCTGCTGCTTCTTTTACCAAAGCGAGGACCCAAAGCTTTCAGCAGCTTCTGCTCAGCTTTGAGAGACACAGAGCAACAGCACTTATGTGACCTGCTCACACAATGTCCACAGACAGACCTGAGTGAGGCCCAAGGAGAGGTAAGGGGCAGAAAGGTCATGCAGCTATAATAAGGCCTATAAGTGTGCTGTAAGTAGGACTGTCACGATAATTACTATATCGACTTGTTGTTCAATATATGACAGATAGAACAATATATTGGGCTCAGTATTCATGTGCGCATTTTCTTTTTAATAATGGGGAGATTTTTGTTATTATGATGTAATATAATAGGATTATTGATTCATTCTGCTATTTGATTGTTGTAGCTCATGTATTTTAATGAGACGGTCTACTTAAATGTTCACTGGGATTATCCTGCTTTATTGTTATTGCGTCAGTGGCATAAAGTAGTTTCAATATTATCATTATATTATCTCTGTAGCTTTATATCGTGGTGCAAAATGTGTTATTGTGACAACCCTAACTGAAAGAAAAAAATGACAGACCAGAAGAAAAGTTTCTTTTCATATTATTTCATTCACTTTGTATGTTTTTAGAGCCCAGTGCACTCCTCTCTTCCCCTCCCCACACCAGAGGTCATTCCAGCCAAGAGAGCTCGAACACTTGGTGAGTCGGACGAGCTTAAGTCAATACTAAACATCCTTTGTCTTTGTACCCTGTTGTTTTCTTGTTTTGTTTCCATGGTTACACCTAATGTTTAAAATCTCAACTATTTTGGACCCCTGTTTATCTAATTCCAGTATTTCAAATATATTTTGGAACATAACTAGCTAGTATTCAGAATTTACAGACATTTTTTGTCTATTATTGTCATTTAAAGTATAAATAGAAAAGGTGGTTTGAAAACTCTAGCTGTTACTAGAGTGGAGCGTGCCACTCCCTAATAGTGACAAACTCATTATGCTGGCAGTGTAAAGATATCACCAGTTATCACACTACTGTTAGAACACTTAACAATCACTGTTAAAGCCCCTGTGCCCATTTCTCCCATTCTGAAAAAGTGCTAGATGGTAGATAAATAGGATTTAAACTATTAGCTGTCATGACTGCTAACTCTGCACATTGCAATTCTTTAAGTGTGTGGATTTTTGTGTAGATGTTATAACTTTCAGAGGGAGCAACATACCTCCCTTTTTTCGTACACTGTGGGCTGTTAATCATAGACAAACATCCAAGTTTACTATACAGTTCATAAACTCCAGCCAAAGGCACTTTCACAGATTAAAATGTTAGGTAAAGGCCTTTAAATATAATGCAGTTATGTAAAGAATGTGTGTAATGTTCTTGCAGAGTCCATGGAAGTTAGCCTGGATACAGACAGTCCAATCACCACTCCGGTCTACCCATGTACTCATGAGTTCTACCTTTCACACTGTCAACAGGTAAAGTTTATATTTAATCTATTTGAATAAAGGGACTGTATGCATAAAGGATACATACAAGTTTTTCTCATTCTCACTGTATGGACATGTAAAAGCTCAGAACTTCCGGAATTCACTCACAGAGCTGCAAAGACTGCACTAGCACTGGTTAATGATCATCTGTAAGTGCTGAAGGTTAGGTAGTTAGATCAGAAAGAGGCATTTTAGGTTTATTTATTTCCCAATTGTTGGAACTGGCAACCCAAAAGAAAAACTCACATGTCTCATGTGTCCAGTGTCTTGAGAACCAAAACACCAAATTATAGCATAAACAACTTGGCCATCATGCCCAATGTTTTTGTAAATAAGAATAAATCAGATTTACAGTTGTTATAAGAAAGAACTATATTTGATTAGAGCATATTTATCATGTAGGAAATTTAAAATCTAATTCTTACATATGATTCCTTTAAAACTACCAGTTGCATTAACATAATTTTTCTATTGTTTGTGCTCCTTTTGTATTTGACAGTCTTATAAAATGACCTCCTCTCCTCGTGGCCTGGCCTTGGTCATCAGTAATGTGGCGTTTGACCCTCACGCCGCTCCAGACCTCGATCTTAGAAAAGGGGGTGAGGTGGACGATGAGGTGCTCAGGAAAGTCTTCACTGAACTGGATTACATAGTCACAGTGCAGAGAAACCTCACTGCTCAGGTAACTATGTGATGTGAAATATTTGGAGAATGCTTTTTATTTTTTTGAGCCGTTGATTGTAAAAGTGCTAGAAAAGCTTGAAAATCTTGAATGTGACATGACTGAGGTCGGTAATGGCTAGGGATGTCAAGATTATTCAGTTAATCGATAATTGTGAGTGTACAGGTCACAGGATAATAAAAAGAACTAAAAAATAATAATATTACTGTGACATCCCCAAGTAGTGGCTATTGGACATTTCAGATTTTGTGTGATGAACGCATTAAGTTTTAGTGAAAGTTGTAAGGAATTCATTTAAGTCGCAAATATTTAGTCCATTACAAGTTGGACAGGGCAGTATTACAACGATGCCCAGTTATAGCGGTTCTTCAGAACAGAATAAAATTATCATCAAGTTAGGATAAAATATGACTAAATGTGTTGTGGTGATGCAGTATTGTCTTTGGGATTATCATAATGTATTTGATTTAAATTCTTAATTGTAGTCTCTGTCAAATCTATGTAGCCTCACAGCAAGAAGGTTCTGGGTTCGATCCCCGGGTCGCCCGGGCCTTTATGTGTGGAGTTTGCATGTTTTGTCCCCATTTCTGGATGGGTTTCCTCCGGGTGCTCCGGTTTCCCCCATCAACCCAAAACATGATACATAGGTCTCCATAAACAGTTGATAGTCAAGGTCAGTTAAATACAATCAATTCAATCATTGTGTCCTTAGGCAAGACACTTCGCCCACATTGCCTAGTATGAAAGTGGTGTGAGTGTGTGAGTGGTGGTGGTCGGAGGGACCGATGGCGCCGAGTGCATGGGAGCCGCGCTTCTGTCAGTGTGCCCCAGGGCAGCTGTGGCTACAATAGTAGCTTACCATCACTAGGGTATAGAGTGAATGAATAATGCTGTATGAATGAATACTGAATAATGCTCTGTAAAACGTCTTTGGGGACAGAAAATGTCTGTGAAAGCGCTATATAAATAAAAGACTTACTTACTTACTTACCATGAACCTGACATGGAGCATGAAGGTGTTGGTGTGTTTCCAGGACATGAGGCTGTGCATAGAGAGCTTCTCCAGGCGCCCGGAGCACAGGACAGTGGACAGCTGTGTGGTGTGTCTGCTCTCTCACGGAGTGGAGGGGGCTGTGTACGGCACCGACGGACAACTACTGCAGGTGGTTAAACAATATTGATAACGTGTATATGCATGCTAAGTGTTTATTGGGATACAATGGCTGTGACGGCCGACCTGATGAGTTACCCAACGCAGGGGCCAATGGGGGGGCTCCTGAGGCCAGGCTGTTCAGACCGCCCGACTAGGCTATCCAGTAGGCATGGCGACTACCTAATGTGGCGCCACCTGGGTACAGCAGGGTCGGCCGAAGCCTCTCTACGATTACACCGAGGCATCTTGATAAACATGACGACATCACATAGAATCACACATTCTGCCGAGTCATGGCACTAAGCAGGGTCAGCTGTGACATTTAGAACACTTTATTTAAAACACATCAACACTGACCATAACGCAATGTCATAATAATGACTAGGCCATCTATGGAGCACTGGAGCATCGTTAGTGCTCCATAGATGGCCTAGTCGTTATTGTAAATGATCCAGTTCAGCATGGTTTCAGCCTTTTGGATTCTTATTAAAATAACAAGCTATTACAACTGAATATAGAAAATAATTTGTCACGACTTAACTTTATCATGTCATGTTTTTATTTCAGCTTGACTGGGTGTTTGGGTCCTTCGACAATGCACACTGCCCGTTACTACAAAATAAACCAAAGATGTTTTTTATTCAGGCATGCAGAGGAGGTAAGCCCTTTTTAATTTGTTTGCCACAAGCCCAATGACCCAAGCACAAAATAGAGAACTCAAAAGTGACAAATGTTATGTTTTGCAGAGGACATGGACTGTGGTGTGGAGCAGATCGATGGGCCTACGAGGACTTGTTCACCGAGCTGTGAACAGGTGGATGCTGGGAGGGAGGGCCAGAGCGACACAAGCCTCAGACAGATAGCGGACATGGGGAGGCCCAGGATCAAACTGCCCCAGCGGTCTGACATGATCTGTGGCTTTGCTTCTCTCAAAGGTCAGAACATTTGTAAGTTTTTTATTTTATCATTTTCTCCAAACATAGTCCTTCATCACATAAATGTTTATTTTCTTAATGAAAATCTATACTCCTAAACCTAAATGTAAACTGCTTTTCAAATTAACTTAAGTTTTATCAAAAAGCAGAACTAAAAAAAATTAAAAGGAGACATATTTTGTAAAATTGACTTTTATGAGCTTTTAACCATGTTAGAACCTTCATCACAAACTCACTCAAAGTAGTGTATTTCAAGTGATTCATGCACGATCTTACATTGTCCTGGATTTGAGGCTGGAGTGTGCAGAAAATTCCTGACACCTACCCCTTATCTCTGTGATTTTGAACATTGAAGTTAATGGACCTACTTTTATCATTAAGCCTCTTTCACCAATATTGCGGTTTACAATCAGTTCTACCTATGTTATCATTTAATATTAAATATCCCAAAGCATAACATTTCTTCTTTAAGTTATAAAAGCCATTTAAACTGACGCTCTTTATTGTGTTACTGGTGAAGGCACTGCTGCGATGCGAAACACAAAAAGAGGATCTTGGTTCATCCAAGACCTGAACACGGTGCTCCGTCTGAAGGCCAAAGACACACACCTTGCTGATATGCTCGTGCAGGTAACACAGCTACTACAATAATATATTTGTCTTGTGTCTGTACTTATTAACAATTTATTTCTACCTTTAAAATAAATGCCAGCCCTAACACATTTCTCCTGTGAGAAATCTAATCTAAGTTAGGTCAGCTTTTATTGTTCCTGCTGCTGGGACAACCTGTCAGGAGCAGTTGGCCCCACAGTGTAGCTCCAGGAGATATTGTAATGCCATGTCAATTTTTTCTATTAATATAATTGTACTCTACATAACTATTTTTATAGGTCTGTGAATACTTTGTTGTGGAGCACACTAAAACTAGTATTATAACCAGTAGAGTGACCATGTTTACCATCTGTTCAGGGACTGCAAATGGTAAACAGCCTCTCTGGCTAATTCTAGTACATTTACTTAGACAGACTTCAACTTTATTTGATCCACAAGGGAAATTATTTGGACACAGTCACACACACATCACAATATATTATAATAAAAGAGTAAAAGTTATAAATTGTAATAAAATAAGTATAACAGTAGCACAAAAGATAGCAAGAGACTAGTGTCAAATAAGGCATAATTATATAAACGTATATGTACAAGTCAGAATAAAATAAAAAATAAGTAATAAAAATTCTTGGCTATATGCTAGAGGTCATAAGGAAAACAGTGCAAAAATGATATGATTTTAAAGAAATGTTGATTAACGTACTCTGTCCCTGTGAAATAAACCAAATAAATAAATTCAAGTATAAATAGAATTTCTGTTGATTCTGATTTCTCTTTTCTGCTCATAGGTGAACAGGAGAATCAAAGAGAGAGAGGGACATGCTCCTGGCACTGCCCACCACCGCTGTAAAGAGATGTCAGAGTTCACCAGCTCGCTCTGCAAAGACTTCTTCTTCTTCCCCAAACACGAGGCCCATCACTAACATGTGCAACACTCAGACTAGAGCTGAGAATAGTAACTCCATCAGTCACTATGTTTACATGCACAGGGAAATCAGAGTACGCTCTTGATCCAATTTCCATCTCATTTTGCCAAAGAAGACAAATTTAGCATTAGCACTAAAACTTTGTAGCTCTAATGGCTAAGAAAAGCTGTTAACATACTGTACATGATCACACTTTTGCAAATGAAGTGCTCAACTGCAAAAAGATCTTTGTTTTGAATAATTGTTAAGTATTTATATTCTATAGTACAGATGTGCATTTTATCATTTTGCTTTTGAAAATATTACTACACAAAGAGTAAGCTACAAGCCTCAGATTACTTTTTAAAATGGCACTTATCCGTTTTTTAATAAATGAACTTTCCACAGATAGTTTTTACTTTCCCTTTTAAGGTAGTGGACCAAAACACTGAAACAGCACTAGGGAGTCCATCGCAACTGCTAATCAAAAATTATTTAATATTAATATTTACCAGACTTTTTCTGGCCCCATGCAGTTGAATGCTTCTCCTAGCATAGTGAGAGTACAATCGGCGTACTCCAGATGTATTTATGTGATTTGGGAAATTCAAATCGTGCATTTTAAAAATCCTGATGAAGCCAGAAGTTTAGCTTCCCTGATGTGCATGTGAACATAGTGCATTTTTGACCACTGCCGCACACTCACATTCCTTTTACAACTTTAGCTATTTTTATTAATTTGTTTTATTTCTCAAACTATGAACTCAGAAATGCTTGTACGTGGACACTGTATGCACATAGGTTTGTACCAGTTAAAGCTTTAGATACTTTTTTAGTTGTTTACTTCATCAAACTGGTGGTATTTTTAAAAAAAACAATTTTTCACTCAGAAATGTATTTTGTACGCAGATTTATTTTTCTGTCCCTTATTTTTTTATAAATATTTGTTTGTATTGTTGACAATGTTTTATTACAGTGACCAATAGGTGGCAGCAAATACATGTTGAGATAATTGCATTTCATCATACACTTGTTTTTTAATCAATATTGTTATATTTTCATACGTAGTTTCATAATAGTGTTTGTTGCTGTATGTTTATTTATGTAACCACCTGCTCTGCACTGGGATATAGTAACCCACCCACAGAGTAGCTAAGAGCCAGCGCTTGTACACTTTTCATGTTTGTCTGTCTATTTTAATCTCTGCTTTTGTTAAATCAATATTATTATAATTCATGACACCCACTAGCTTTCTTTGTATCAGCTGTGTTACAGAATAGCCTTCGTGCTAGTTGGTTAACAGGGGAATATGGTGCTACTTTGGAGGTCGTTGGCAGGCATGAACTTTGAACTATAGCAATCTCTCACCTCTTATGGTGTTTCTACCATTGGGGCGCTGCTGTAAGTGGAGCTTTCTTACTGTATTACTCCCACTGTCTTCCAATAGAAAATCTAAATGCGGGTTTCTACAGTGACTGGAGCCAAGAGTGACCTGACCATGACATTATAACCAGTGGGCTGCTTTCTATGTGTTGCTTTGACCACATCATGTACAGTTTGATGGCATTCCCTCAAATCATGTTTTTCTACAGTGTTTAATGCAAGGAAAATGGTCCGAGCTGTATTATTATGATCTTTACCCTATCTTTATATCAGGTGTTTAAATTAATGTTGCCATTGAAGGTACTGTTACCATCACATTAAATATACTTCAAATGAAGTAGTATTATTAGGTTCACATTTAAAGACATGTATTTGCTGGCAAGCAACAACATTGTATGTTTATCGAGAGGTAAAATAAGATATTTGTTTATAATGACTGCCAAATATTGTATACAATAAACCATGGCTGAAATGGACCAAGCTAAGATTTGTATTGAATATTTTTCTTGTTTACAGGTTGCCACTGCTGTAAATTACAAGCTTCATTTGGCTTTATTTCACAACAGAAGCAAAAAAGTTTGCTTTTAAAGAAATTGTGAATACATTGGGAAGTCAGTTTGTGAATACATTGACATGTCCCTAAATAAAATATTTAAAGAACATATGCCGTTTATGTATTCAAAATGACTAAAAGAGGTACTAATCGCTGTCCAAGATTTGTCATATGCTCCCAGATTTGGGGCAAAAGACAGATTTCCGTATTGAAATATCTAGATTCTAGAAGGTAATTTCACAAACGTCTAACCTGATCATTTCTCTTGTTGACTAGAACCTAGAACTATACTCTTGCAAAAATGTGCTCATGTGTTCATTTTAGCTGACCCCATCTATATGAAATATTATTGGTCTTTATTGTTTCATCTGAAACAGCAGTTCTGCACAGTAAATAGTCACTTATATTCTTAGTTGAGATGTTCATTAATTCATTTGCAGAAATATCCCCTTTGTTTAATTTCCCTTCTTGTGTTTGTGTTCAGATGTTCTAATCGTGTTTTTCACAGGTTTAGCAAACTCCTTTAACTCATCCTCTCCTCTGCTCAGGTCTCCGTGCTGCCTCTTGGATACCACTCTGTATCTGGCACACCGGTCGTGCCCGATGATAATGGTCGCAGTGTATCAGATAGGACCGAGCCAGCAGCTGTCCTCAGTCATTCTGCCCTGACTCACATAGACATACACACACACACACACGCACACACACACGCACACAGAGTAACACGTTGGTTTGTCACTGGCCTCTGCTGCGCAGAGAGATTAAGCTGTTATGTGCTGGCGTGTGGACCACAAAGCAGGGAGGAGTTATGGGGCTCTGAGCGGCTCTGTGTGGTTGACATAATAGTGGCCCATATCATTCGCGTGTCAAAGCTATCAAATTATTTAACAACTATTTGTCTTAGGTTTGCATAGAAATAAATAAGAAACATAATCAAGCACCTATAATCACACTGTCACTCATGTTGACATGTTATAATATCTTCCATTACACAGAAAACTAATAAATTTTGGGTGAGAGACATTAATGAATCAGAAGGTCGAGAAACTTAAATTATTTAATCAAGTTAAATTGAAATATTTCTTAAATATGAATTCAGCCATCCCTTCTTGCTTTAGGGTCACAGTGTGTAACTTTTTGCAAAAACATTTTTTGTTGGCATTTTTTATTTTTTACTTTGGTTGTGTTTGTTGCAATCTTCAAAAGTATAGCATGAGAATGTTCCAAAGTATAGTTTTAACTTTCTATTTTTGTAGAATCATGCAGGTGATGTGCCACCTGCAGAAAGTTACATTTAAGTCTGCCATATTAAAGGATAGTTTAATGATGTCATGATGGTTTAGGAATTATACTATAGAAAAAAGGTTTGGAAATGTGAGTTTTATTAGTCTTTTTGTGTGTTTACTGACTTCATCTGCAAAGCCACAAACTATAAAACCAAATGAATCTACAACTAATATACCGTAGTTCATTCAGAAATAGTTTTGAATCAAATCTAAAACCTAAATGTTCTGACACTGCAAGACTTTACAGCCCTAGTGTCCATTCTGGAGATGACACTTTGTGGTCTTGGGAGCGGACCACGGCAGCATGTGATCTGAGTGGGGATTGCCTTGCATCATTGGGTGATTAGGTGCGAGCTGTCAAGGGGGTGTCGTGTGCACCTTCCTTGCTCACGTTGCATGGGACAGCCCTATGGGGGGTGCCCTTCCAACCCCCCCACCTTACCCCTCTCACCCTAGTGTCCAAACAGAACAGCAGACCCGCACACACTGGTCTAATGGGCGGCTGGCAAGCTGGGTGCTGCTAGGGGCAACAACTCTTGTGTGTGTATGTTATTAGGTGTCTGCAGTTCTAATAAAGGAAAGCATTGCGCCCTTCACTGCCACATCAGATGGCTTTGCTGTGTTGTGCTGTCTAGTAGACCACTGTGTCTATAGGTGCTTCAACTTCTGGATAATCTGGACAAATATGCAAAAATCATCAACTATCTTTCTTCTCAGCTCTGTGTCTTCAAGAATACTTCCGTGAGGTCAACTTGTTGCTGGCGTTGTTTGTTTGACCTGGTGTTAAGCATATGCAAGAGGGAGTTGGTGCATATGGTTTTCCTCACACCACTGGAAATGCTGGGGTGTCCGGCGAAGTTATTTTTGGATCAGTGACAGCGTGTCAATGGCTGCAGATGCATCGCAAAGGAAGGCTCTGAGATACCAACAGACCCTGGTAGGTCTTTCCCGATCTTGCTTTTCCTGTGTGTCCGAAAATGTGCTCCGTTTACCGTCACATGACTCCTCAAAACGCCCAGTCTTTAAATTTTGCAAAGTTCTCCCAACCATCTTTCGTAACTATTCATGCTAACTTCTCACTCTAATTCTAATTGATTACTTTTCATTCAATTGAAAATCTATTTAAGTCCTTTATAGTTCTAATCTAATGTGGTGCAGAAGAAGCATTACGCACCTTTTCTGGTTGAAGGCCCACCACCTCCTTGTCTCCATTGAGATGTTATTGCTTTGCCTGGAATGTTTCACACTTTGGCTTTATACTATCTCTATGAAGACAAGCAGGGATGTGACCAGGCCAAATTACAGGTCAGAGGCGCCCCTGCTGACGTAAGAATGCATGTTTTTCCACGTTTTTTTTAGCAACTAAAAATCTGCATCAAACAAATCAAGATGAGTTTAATGTCAGACTGTGGAACATTCCAGACAAAGCAATAACAACATCATAGAAACAAGCAGGGGGCAGAACCCTCACCAGAAAAGTTACATTTAATTTAAATTTTTACATTTAATTAAGTTAAAGTTACCAGAAAAGTTACACCTTTACTTATTCCTTTTAGAAACTGTATTAGCTTTCAGAAATGCACATTAAGATCAACATTTGTCATTGCCTTTGCATTTTATCCTATGGAAAGTTGGGCTATACTTGTATGACATAGCGCTGAGCCCTGTAAAGTGGTTTCTGTTTGTGTGTATTGGTGAATGATATAAATACCTACAGTATATAGAGGAAACCTGAGCAGACAGGTTAGAGGTTGTGATGAAGTCATGTCACTGTATCCCCGGCTTCATCTGGTTAAATGATAAACTGAGACTAAATGTTCAGTGCAGCGGGTGCAGAGTTTGGTTTCTAAGACTGCAGATCAGTACTATTAAGATTTTCATTCAGTTACGAAGTCTACAAAATACAACCAAACCACTAAAGAGAGGCTGGAAATGGCTTTAAGTCAAAATGAACTTAGCTGGTTTAGAACAACTCTTTTCATGCTTTAGGGCTGGTTTAGACCTGTTTTAGATTTGGTGGTAGGAGTGAATGATATTGATAAGAATGATAAGATTTATTTTTTCTCTAAATGAATGAATACAATATAGATATGTTTACTGCCATACTCCATTTCCATGGACAAAAGCAGGTGGTGTACTCGCTTCTAGAAAAGTAATATTGCAGGCTGCGTATTTAATATAGATGTACTATATGGTAATGATATTCAGTGTTGACATTATCTTGTTGTAGACAATATCCATCCATTTTAGAGGGATGAGAAATTAGCACCATTGTCATAGCAATTAACCAAAAAGATTAACAATTCAGCACAAAATATTATATCTTGTGAACAGTAAAATGTCCTCAAAATGTCACCTATAAACAGGAAGTCAAACTCCAAATATCACCCACTCTGTTTGGTGATACTCAGGAACTTACCGTCTTTTCTTTGATGTAACTTAAAAGGTTTGAAAAACGACTCATCTTTGGTGGTTTTCTAGGCTGTGATGATCTCATGCTACCAGATGGTAGGCAAGAGCCAGATTTCCCTATTGATTGCATTATAATTGTAAATTGTAAAGATTTTAAGAATATTAATTGTAGCTTCCAACATGCGTATTCAATATGTGATGCCATTTGTAACACGGCATTAGTGTCAGAATCCTATAGTCTTATCCTGTGGAATACAAGACAAGTCCATGCCTTGACCCAGCACAGACCTCTAACAGAAGATACGTTTGATATAAATATGAAATGTGATGAATCCAGATTTCTGCAGGCTTAATGTATCAGTAACATATCAAGCCTCTCTTACGTGTAAAAGCTGTGATGGTCCGTGTTTGCCTGTGAGTGGAAATCAGAGCCTCAGAGGATTTAAGTTTATGTGGAGCTGTGAATAGATCCTGTAATATAATTTATTTACTACTCAGTAACATCAGTGGTTATGTTATTAAGTAAATTAGTAAGATGCATGATGCGTGAAGTTGGCTCAGCTTTTTTCAAGCATTTGAAAGATTCAGGTTATTTCTTGTTTATATATTTATTGACATTAACGTTTTTTAACTAGTCGGCCACTTTAAGCGCTCTTTTTAGAAGTTAATAGTTTCATTGCTTATTATTCTCCATATAAGAATATACTGACATATCAGAAGGAGACATTTTAAAGCGTTTTTAATTTGTTAAAGCTTTATAAACTAGAAAAGTAGTGTATTATCATGACAAGATTAAGAAGACTAAAACTCAAGTGGCCTAAGTGGTACTAAATGTAATCTTATTATTATTAAATAAATGTGATTATATATAGTGCTACTTTCATGATTTCATTATATTCAGATTGCAGTGATTTTAAATGTGAGCAGCACTTCAGCCCACCTTGTTATTTTAAACCACTTAACACATTTTAATTGGATTTGGAGGAGGTTCACTAACACGTATGAAAATGTCTTGTTTCCCTGTAGACTCTCGGGCTGCAGACATCTCTGACCTGCTAATGGCCAAAATGAATGTTGGTGGGTTTGTAAACCTGTGTTAATTACTTCCAAGTCACACCCTGTCTCTTGACCTTTGACCTTAGTGAGGAGGAAGCAGCCTCGGTGGGCTCTACTCTGACAGACACACTTCGGTAGAGTGGCCACGCACAGCTGTCGACTTCGATGGTTTAATCAAAAAGGAGCTGCCCATAATGTTTTAGGTCAATGAACACTTCGGCCTGCCAACGGTCCTGGACAACTAGTGATTTTATTTTATTTTTGTGCTGCTCGTAGTAGTAATAATAACAGTGTAGGAGCAGTTAGGGGTGTGCAAAAATATCGTAATATCGATATATCATGTGATACAGTATTGATATCGTGGGCTGCTGTATCGTTATATTGCCAAGAGTATTTTTTGGTATATTTTACTAAATTATTTTGTTACAAGGCTAGTTTTGTTGCTTGTTCAGAGGAAGGAAACTTGTTTATGTGACACATTTGACATTTTTGCTGTTTTGATTATTAAAATGTTTGTGTTTCATATTCTCTTTTCACAAGAAGTGGTTTAAAAAACACTATTAGTATCACAGCCATAATTTAGCCATTATTTTTATTGAACCATATCTAATTTGAAATATATCATATCGAACCGAAAGTGCACTGTGTCACGACCCATATCGTATCGTGGCCTATGTATCAAGGTATGCATCATATCGGCAACTTCTTAATGATACCCAGTAAGGATGTAACAATAACCGAAATACCGAGATATCGTGTCATCAAAGTTCTCACAATAATATTGTGGATCACACACAATATATCGAATTACAAGTCTCTTTGCACTTTAAAGTCTCAGTTCTTTGGATTAAGTCTTGTCAAGGCATTTTAAGAGGAAAAAGTTGCATATTAACAGTTTTGTAAGCCTCCACAAAATATCGTAATAAATATCATACCGAGAGATTTGGATATTGTCACATCCCTAATCATGAGCCTCCCCACCATATCGTGAGCTTTCCCACGATATCGCAATAAATATTGTACCCTGACGTGAGAGTTGGATATCGTTACACCCCTAATACCAAGCCTTAGTAGCAGTAGTAATAATAACAAACTGACTAGACCTTGTTAGACAAACGCTGTGGTGGTTCAGTGGCTCTTAGATTGATGAGCTCTTGTTGAAATCTTTTTAACTATGGAACACTTTAATGGATGATGGAGAAACTACACCACCTTTAAACAATTTATTTAAAAAAGGTTATTGTTATACTTACACTACCAGTTGGACACACCCTGTCATTCATTGTTTTTTCTTCTTTATTTTTACTACTTTCTACATTTGATATACATACAGAAGACCTCAAATACATGATGTAAGATGTCTGGAATTATGTAGCAAAGAAAAACAGTGAAATAACTCAAATCCTTAAAGTAGACACCCTCAAACTTCTGACTGGTAGTGTAGAAAATTCCAAAATATTCTTAAAGACAAGACAAAGGTGAATGACATTGTTTAGCCTGCCACATGCAACAGAAAAATGCTCAGTGGTCATCTGTCCACAGTGTCCAGATCACTGTTGAAACCTAAAGACGCCTGGATGAGTGAGGGATTACACTGTATCAGGTGTAAGTGTTGATAATATGTGATAACTCCAGAAATCAGGTAACAGTCAGATTTTCAGTGTGCATTTGAGCAGTGTTGATATTGTTTTGTTGTCCTGATCCAGCCGGTCCCACGTTACAATGATGTGATGGATGTGGTGGAAAAGTGTGATTGCGCAAGGAGATGATTTTTGATCTCCAAGAATGTCAACAGCAGTGAAACTGATCTCAGAAGTCTCCAATGTTACAGGGCACTAAAAGGGAGAGCATTACCTGCCAAATGTTTGCAGACAGGAATGACGGGGACGTAGACGATTAAGCCATTAAACTCCATCTGATAGTGCAGTCACTTGATGTGGCTTTCTAATTACAGTTTGGACCCCGTGTAGTAATTAAGCTATTAGCGGTTACATCAATAGTAACAAGCCGAGCACTGTGTTAGTGGACTGAGAGAGGGTCGATAATTTGTTTTTGCCAAAATGTTGAGCTGATTTTGAGCAAAAACATTACAATTTTAGGTTTGTCAAAATTACTGACACAAGAATCGAAAAATACAATCTTTTTTTTTCCTGTATAGCTCAGATTAGCGGTTTGAATCTTGCTCCCTATAATAACACTGTTATTACAGGGTTATTATAACACATGCATTAGATCTCTTGGCCCACAAGCTGGCAGTGCAATTCCAGCTCCCCTAGATGAATACTGTTTTTGTGTCCTTGGCCAAGACATTTAACCCCCCTCACCTCCAGTGTCTGTGTGAATGCATGTGTGAATCCTGCATGTGCTGTTTGATGTATGGTGCTTTGAAGGAAGAAAAGTGCTTTATAAATGTGATGATTTATTCTTCTAGAGCTGCACGATTAATAGTAGTCGAATCAAAATCGCAAT